AATTTAAAAATTCCGGGTACTTTTTGAACACACCTCGTACAGATGGATCAAGTACGTTAGTAAATGGATAGATATCACAAACAAAGGTATGAGACGATGCGAGCCACTTTCTTCCAATTCTGAATACAAGTTTGGAAGTAATGCACCAAATCAGGAAACTAAAATTAGTTTGGACGAAACTATTTGGACAAGAGTTGTAGTAAAGTGAAATAGGTTTTGCAGCTAGATTAGAAGTTCAAAGAGCTTTCAGACACATACTCAGACCAAATTCATAGAAAACTAGCTGTAAGTGGAATTCTGTCTTGAGGCAATTATGGCATCGTGCCTTAAGGCAAACTGCTGGAACTTCCCGTACCCTATCGAAATGTTCGAGGAATACTGAATGTTTTCAAATAGATTATTATAAATATTGTAACATTGTCTAATAATTATAAGAATTATATAAACTGAATTGCAGAGTTGAAATTATTTGTAAAGTATATTAGAACTATAGTCAGAATTAAAAATAAAATCTGAAATATTTTCGATATACAAAAAACCTAAAAAAAAAAAAAAAAAAATGGAACAAATTTTTTTTTTCCAAAATCAATTATTTTGTTAAGACAAGCAGAAAGTTCTTTGAATCAATTAAATCTGACGCTTAGTTCTCTCAAAAACTGCCATTTTTTACATATTTAGCTCCGTATCTTCAAAATGACTGGGCCTGCCTTTGCCAAAAACTAATAAACACTTCTCCCAATCATTACTAATTGAATGTTTTTTAGATCATTCAAATCGGATACTCCGTTCTCTCAAAAATTCGATTTCTATTTTCTGCACTCTTTGCTCGTTATCTCCGTACCTGCTGGACCTGCCTCTACCAAAAACTAATCAGCTCTTTTCCGTATCAATAGGAATCGAATGTTTTTTAAACCATTCAAATCGGTTAATCCGTACGCCCGAAAACGTGGGCGAAAATTTGTATCCATACATACATACACACACACACACATTCATCCATCCATTTTTTCTGAAGTATGCCAAAACGTTCAGAAACCTTCAAAACGTCGAGAAATGTAAAAATTTTCAATTCCGATTTTCGGCCCATTACAATAACTTACCCTACGGAAAGTTAAAAAAGCCCGCGTTTGGAACAAATTATAGAAAATAGCAAAAATTGCTATTCAAACCGGGCGCTCATATCACTTTGGTTGAATAACATTTTCCAACAAAGGCCAGAAGCATATTTAGCCAGTAAATGCCAAAGAAACTATAAATTTACATAAAATTCTGTCTGACATCTGATGTAGAAACAAAATATATGGTAAATGGTTGCCCGTATTTAGCGAAAGACGATGAATTAACCCCTCTAAACAAATTTGTAGTAATGAAAATTCTTGAAACGTATACCATGAAGGGCATAAATGCAATAAGCGATATTATTTTTACAATTATTCATATGGCATTGACATTAAAATCTAAAAACACGTCGGTGCTAAAGTATTGTAAAAACCATTAAAAATTAATAATTTTGTTATTTGACAATATCTATAAGTTTATTTAACAGCTGTAATTAGTTTTGTTCAATAGAAATAGGTATATACAAACGGCTGGTATATCTAGTGTTAAATAATCTTGGCCTTGACTTGCCGCAGCCTTGACTTGACAATCATTCACCTCCTAAGTATATTTTTTAAATATTTTTCGGTTTGCAGCCCCTGCACCGTGACGCATCTCTAACTCCTCATTGTGCTCAAATCACTGGTGGCACTTGGAGCGTGTGCGTTCGAAAGGGACGCTGCTATACGGTCCTATGAACGATGAAAAGAGACGGAGCGATAGTGTGGCGTGTAGGTGCGACACGGGTGATACGCATATCACGTAGCGTGTTGCCGCCACCATATGCACGAGGCACGACTCGCGCTGTGTTGGTGGTATAAGGCTTGGGTCGCATTGGGTAAATGAAATATTGAGTCGGTAGAATAAAAAATCCTAGAATTTTTGGCTAAAACGTGAACAAATGTTGTACACTTTTTTGATAATTTGCAAATTGCAATAGTTGGAATAATCTTTGTACAGAACTAGTCAATGTGTTCCTATCCAGTTACATTCAGAATGGCTTTTAAATTTTTCAAATTGGTGAAAAATATCGATGAAAATTTTTGAGAGAACGGATCATCATATTTGAATGATTCAAAAAATATTTTAGTGGGCGTCCATTATTCACAAGTGGCTTAAAGGGCTAGGGGAGAGTTTGACAAAAAATCACGAATAATCACGTAGGTTAAGGGGAATCTAGTAAAATATCGTGTGTATTTATTAACTTCCCGAAGGAGAAATTTATGTTTTCATCAAAAAATCCGATTCGCTAATTTTATGTTTTCTCGACGTTTCTGAATCGAATGAGACCAAATTTAAGGAAAAAGTATGTGTGTGTGTGCATGTGTGTGTCAACAGATTTTTTGCCGTAAATCGACGTTTTCTCCAAAATGGATGGACCGATTTCAAAAATTTAAAAGACATTCAATGTATCTCGATGAGGACTAGCGTTTCTGAGTTTCGTGCGACTATCGGCCGGGCCGTTTCTTTGTAAATTGCAGAAAAGTGAAAAATTTTTCGTCCACGTTTTAGCCCGCAATTCTAAATCGATTTTGAAAATTCAAAAACCATTCGATAGATATTGATTGGGAATCGTGCTGATTAGTTTTTGGTAAAAATCGGGCGGGCCGTTTTCTTGTAATAAAGTTTTTTTAAAAAAAATTTCGACAATTTTTATGATTTTTTTTTGACGGTAGATATCATAGTCTTCTAGATCATACTAAAATATTATTGCCCTACGACAACTCGTTTAGCTTTAAAAATTCGTCAAAGTTTGCAAAAATTGGTATCGTTTTTTGGCATTTGCCAAAATTAGACTTTTCATCGACGTTTGCTCAAAAACGCCTGAACTGATTTCAGAAATTTAAAAGCCATTCGATGTTTGTCAGTTTTGTGAGACGATCTACCGAGCCGTTTCTTTGTAATTTGAAAAAGAGTGTTAAACTTCGTCCACATTTAAGCTCATTCTACCGAATCGATTTTAAAAAATCAAAAACTGTTCGAAAGATATTAGTTGGGAATGGTACTGATTAGTTTTAGGTGAAAATCTACCGAGCCGTTTTCTTGTAATTAACTGTTGAAAAAAAAATTTAAGTCGATTTTTATGAAACTTTCTTTGGCAATGCATATCATGGTCTCATACAACTAACTGTAATATTACGGCCTTACGACAAGTAGTTTAATTTTAAAAATTCATCAAAGTTTGAGAAAATGAGTAGTTTTTTTGACGTTTGTTAAAATTAAAATTAGACGATTTACTTGGAATAACGTTAGAGTACTTGGTAATAATAAACCATTAATAAAAGTCCTACGGAAACTGGTTCAAATATAAAAATCAAAAATTTGCTTCTAGAAAATACTCCGAATCAAAGTGTTCGTTCGTTTTCAATTATGTGTAATAAATCCTCTCGGAATACATCTAATTACTCATAAATTAATTTATTTTTTATTGATTAAGTCGATTATTTACACATATCGGGAAGTTCATGTAACTTGCCTCAAGGCTAAATACCAATACCAACTAGTTTGTATTGGCGAAATGAAGAACTTATTAAATTTTTGGAATATTATTAGATTTTTGCAATATTAGGTGCTTCAATATTTCGTCTTCCTTTGGAAAAAAATATACAAAATTTTCAAATAATTCAAGATATAAAAAATATTTAAATAGTTCAAAGTCATTTTTTTTCAAATATTTCGATCGTAAATTCGAAAAATTTGTTCGAAAAATGTTACGTAACTAAAAATACACGTGATGTGTATTTTGTATTTAGTATTTGTATTTAGTATTGGTAGTGATGAGGGAGGGACAAAAACATAAATGTATGTAAAAATGCACGCGACGTGTCGGGGGAGGAGAGGGGATGTGGTGTAATTCTAAATATCACGACGTATCACCAAGGAGGAGGACGCCCCCGAATAAGTATTTTAATAAACTTTACAATACTCAGAGATAAACAAGTATAATACTTTTACAATATAATTATTTTCTTTAACAAATTTTAGGTTATTATAATATGACTATTAAGTTAAACAAATTTATAAGTATCTTACATTATATATTTTATTTATTTATAAGTGTCTTATATTCCTCCAATGTGTCCCAACCCTAACAGTGGTTATAGTATCGCCCGAACGATCGTGACTGATCGTCGTGTCGGTGCGACAGAGACTACGGCGGAGTGGTAGCAGGCGGAGGCGGAGGAGCTGGTGTGATGGTGTGATGGTGCGCTGGCCGCACACAGCAAGGACGCCGCCGAACCGCCACGCATTACATTAGTCGTGCGTCGACACTCGAGGAGAAAAGACGGATGGTCGATAGAGGAGAATTTTATTTTGCGATCGTAAATGTGCGAGTTGAGAAATCATTAGAGGATTGTAATTGTTGGTGCAAAAATATATATTAACAAATTGGTTGTATTTAGTTATACAAATATTTGGTTTACTTTTGAATTTCGTTGGAGGTGCTTAAAAGTGTATTAGTTACCAAAAAAACACGATAAATTCTGTGGAGTGTAATTTTTACCTCATGTGTGTTTGTGTATAAATCCTTTGTGTATTTCCTCTACCTTTATGTCTACCCATACATCCCTCGTTTCTGAGGTCGTCGCAAAAACGCGCGGCCGAACATGACAGCTAAAACCGAAAAATCCAAGACATCTAACACCATCAGCTTGACCCAAACCGATGTCAAAACAGAATCCGTGTTAGAAATCGAAGACATCAAACTACCTTCAAAACTCAAAAAAACCTTCAAAAAATCCACCAAAGACGACACAAAAAAGTCTAAGTCAAAATCAGAAAAACGTCAATCCATTACTACCATTACTACCGTCGACGACCTAATCGCCAACACAACGTCTTATTCAAGCAACGACAGCACCACCGTGATTGGTGTCAAAGAGGAGCCCGTGATCAAACGAGCCAATAAACCGCTCATGGAGAAACGCAGACGTGCCAGGATTAATCAGAGCCTCGCAGTTCTGAAGGCTCTGATCTTGGAGGCTGCCAATCAGAGGAGCGGCTCGGCCGTAGGCGCCAACGGAACGGCCGGCGCCAAACATGCCAAACTGGAGAAGGCGGATATTTTGGAATTGACGGTCAGACACTTCCAGAGGCACAGGAATTTGGACAATCCCGGTTAGTAGAATTGTGTTAGATGGATAATTTGTTTTATGTAGACGCAAATATTATTCGTGATTGGCAATTTGCTTCTACGAAATGTAAAAAAATAATTCCGAAATTTTATGACGACTAAAAATTTGAAAAAAATATAGATACATTGAATGAAATAAAATCGTCTAGTATAAAAATATAAACAATAAAAAATGGAAGAATTTAAAATAAATCGAAACATTTTTATAAAACTGATTTTTAAGGTTTAAAATCACTGTTTATAATATGTATTTAACTAATTTATACAAATAACAGTGTAAAAACCATAAGAGAATTCATTCGTGGCGTAAAACACTACGAGGCGTCTCCACCGTAAGATTTTTTTGAATCAACATATCTTTATTATTGGTATGAGGGTTCCCAAGGGTACCAAAAAGTTGAATATATATATTAGGGTGGTCCTTAAAATGGTCATTTTCGAATTTCCTTGCTCCCAGGGGCTCAAATGGTTCCAAATTGATAAAAAACAATTCTCTGAAAGTTTTAGCTCTTAATATTAACGTTTAGATAGAGCGCAATTCAATCAAAGTTTTGTATGGAAATAGCATGGAAAATTTTTCAAAAATTTTAAAAATGTTTTTTACATGTAATTTAGCGAACAAATGAATGAATAAAACTCATTCATTTGTCGCTAAGTTATACCTAAAACATTTTTTTTTAGTTTTCTAAATTTTTTCATGCTCTTTCCATACAAACTTTGATTGAATTGCGCTCTATCTAAACGTTAATATTAAGAGCTAAAACTTTCAGAGAATTGTTTTTTATCAATTTGGAACCATTTTAGCCCCTGGGAGCAAGGAAATTTGAAAATGACCATTTTAAGGACCACCCTAATTTATATATATATGTATGTATATATATATATATATATATATATATATATATATTTCGAACAATGAACAATTCGTTAGTATAAATTAAAAAAACGGTTCCAATAAATAATCAAATTTTGCAGAAAAAGTTACACAAGCCCAAGAAATAAATGTTTAAAATTTAAAATTAAATGTAGATTACTATAAATCGCAAAAATTTTAAAATCCTAAAATTTTGAATTTTATTTTGTTACAAAAGTTTATCTTACGACAATCGCAGGTAGATTGCTATCTTAAATCAAAACTAATTATTTGAGCAAAAGCCAAAGATTCTTCTGTATTGTCTTTTTTACTCAAAACTGCCCCAAAAACTTTAAAACAATTTTTATTTTATTTTGTTACAAAAGTTTATCTTACGACAAGTGCAGGATTTAATGATCAATTAAAATTAAATATAAATTGCTATTTTAAATCAAAACTAATTATTTGAACACAAGCCAAAGGTCTTTGGTATCGTCTTTTGAATTCAAAACTGCAATTTTATATTTTATAGATTAAAACGCCAAAAATTTTAAAACCCTAAAACTTTTTATTCTATTTTATGTTGTTACAAAAGTTCTAACTGAAATATAATGTGTTCAAAATCTCAAAAATTTCGAGTTGAAACACATAATGTTGATCTTTAAAATATGCGAAAAACTTTTATTATTTAACTGTATATATGCCAAAGTAGAAAATTTTAGAAATGTTTAAAAATTAATTGTTTAATCAATATCTCAAAAACTCCGAGTCGAGGCATATAACGTTGATCTTCAAAATATGCGAAGAATTGTTGTAGTTATTTAACTGTATATTTGCTAAAGTAGAAATTTTTAAAAATGTTGAAATAACTGGAACAAAATGCTTACAAAAAAACAGTATCTCAAAAACTTCGAGTCGAGACATATAATGTTGGTTTTTAAAATGTGCGAAGAAATGTTATTATTTAACTGTATATCTGCAAAAGTAGAAAAATTTAAAAATGTTTAAAAATTAATTGGAAAAAAATGCCCACAAAAAACAATATCGCGAAAGCTTCGAGTTGAAACATATAATGTTTATCTTTAAAACATGCGAAGAATTGTTGTTATTATTCAATTGTATATCTGCTCTTTATAAAGCAGAAAAATGTTTTACTATTTCGCCAGGAAATCACGTTTGCAAATTTTAAATATTATTTATTCTGATTCAGGAGAAACTGAATAATTCAGCACAGACTTATCTGAAAACCTATATAATTTATCAAATATATGTGGTAAAAAATAAATTTTGGGTTTGTTTACATTGTTTCCGGAACGATGCAACCTACATAAAAAATTCAACAGTCCTTTGATAAAACTCAATAACGGAGCTTAGAAACATCTGATTTACATTTTATTTTATAATTATTTGTAATCTAAAATCAATGTAATTTATTGTATTATAAAATATGGTTTGAAATTGAGTCGTTAACAGACATTCTTATAAAAAATGAGGCGAAATTAGAATAAATGTTACGTTTGTTGTAATGATGTGCATCGCCTTGATTACTATACGGTCTTTGCGAAGGTCGTCTGGCGTCGCATTCACAGAAATATAATATACATATACACACACACATATATATATATATATATATATATATTTACCTATGTGCATCATATACATTTATACGTATTATAATGATATGCTTGTTCTGTCGTCTCGGGCTCTAACAATGTGTAAAAAAAAGTGTGCAAAAGTACATACATTCAAAAAAACAAGTTTGAAACTATTTTTTTTTTAATTTTTATGTAATTGAAAATTATAGATAGCAATATGTTTCCAAGTGAAAATAGTCCTTAATCCGGCATTGCTGCAATATCTCAATTAGAACGACGACCAGGGGGTTAAAATGATAAAAAATTAAACTATTTCTCAGACAAAGTAAAGACAATTAATGGATTGCCTACTATCAACAATATCTTCATCACAACATAGAATAATTCTGATTGCTATAACAACTACAAAAAAAAATGTCATTGAAATTTCACAAAATTTCGGACAAATCTTTTGGAGTTTTTTTTTCGTCAGTGGTGCAAAGTTCTTTGAATGAAGTATGAAATATTAACTAAATTAATTTTAAGTGAAGCAGAATTACTGTTAGTTGATAATTTTTTGTTAAACTATATAAATTGAACCAAACTTATAACAAACTAATTGCAAATATTTAATATATACAATCCGCTCCCACTCCTTCCCTACAATTGCGTGACTACACTTGCGTTGTAACCTTGATCAGTGTCCATAATGCACCGCTATTAATCACAAAAAATATAGGAGTGTAATATGTGCTTCTTCAATTTCTCGTTTGTTAATATAACATTATATTATCATTTTACACAAATTTAGTGTTCAATCAATTTTACATCATAATTAATTCTTTATGTTGTTTTTCCTGGTTTGGTATGTATAATTTTCTCCTTTTTATATATTTATATTTATCATCAACTTTGTATTTATGTTATATGTTTTTTAGATTACTGAATGATGACACACATCAAGTATCGAAACGTTTAATGGAATAAATAATTTTGTTATTTAATCTTTTTTAATTCGACGATTGGGCTGCAAAAATATTACAAATATATATATATATATATATATATATATATACATATATATTGTGTTATGGTTTTTAACAAGTCTTTTTTCTCTCCGGTTGTTCTCTATTACCATCGTGCATTTATATTTACGCACTCGGCTAAACGGTGTGGGCAATTACGGAGCCCCACAGCACTCCCCCCCATACGGTGTGTGTGGGTAGTGTCGCGCCGGTGTGGGTACATACTTTATTATGTTGTATCGGATAGAGAAAACCGGGAAGCGATTGTGATAGCAAAAATATTTTATAAGGAAAAAGGTAAAATAAACCCGTCAGAATTTATATATCGAATGTTTTAGTATCAAATAATTAAAAGAAATTGTAGGTTGCTACTTGATTTATCCGATAAAATAGTTTTACACTCGACGCATTGAGGAAATGATTTTATCTTAATATTAGAAAATAATCTCATCTGATGTCTTACGATCACGTTGCGTACTTAATATGTAAGATGAACTAATATACTCTGAAACTAGACACTATTTTATTTTAAGATAAGAGATCAAGTTTAACGATTGTATTCTACATCTATTTTATTTGTTTTATTCAACCTGTGTCACTTTTGTCCGCGGCTTCGAAGGTCGCGCCGGATAATAAAACGAATCTATTCGACGCCAACACCGGAGGAAAAAAAACAACAAAAAATAAAAAACAGACACCGGACACAAGTTCACGATGTGATAAGTAGATATATAAATTACAAATAGACGGGGCATCTTGCAAACTTGCCAAAGAAAAAAAAGAGTCAAATAAGGTCCACAAGATTCGATTTTTTAATCCTTAATTACCAAGAAACGACTTGATTGACTTTTGCCAAAAATTGTTCAATACAATCAGCTAACAAGGATTCAATTACAACGGGATTTTCTCATAAAACAATAGATCTAAAGATTATTAAGAACGACTTATCTGATTTCTATATAAAACCGGCGAATGTTAATAATGATTGAAAAGTACAGAATATTTTTAAAATTAGCTGATCCTACCGAAACTTAAATGAAATGCATATATAATTTTGAACAGTACTAACTGTCAACCCCTCTTGAAAACAATTAGAAAAGAAAATTATAAATGATTAGTTTGAAGGTTATAAGTCTTTGGTCCAACTGTGACCATTTCTCAGTTATTGTGGTTAATTTTCATAATATTCGTTCATTTCAACTTTTTAACTGTAATCGTAAATTACATTTCTAGGACCACAGTCATTAATAATGACATATTTGCCCCAAGTTTTTAAAACTTAAGACTATTTGTTGAACCATGAATTAAAAATTGTGAAAATTGGTCGACTTTTAAAGAGCCTCTTTTAAGAACATTGCACTAAAGAGTTGGCAAAGTTTTATCAAAAGTTCGCGTATTTAATAACGATTGTGAAATAGAAATCATACCGAAAAAAGCGAGTAAAAATAAAAACTTAAAAATAACGCGATTCAAATGATTCTGTCTTTCTCATTGAGTTTGTGCGAATAAAAAACATTTCGGTCTCAAACAATTAAGAATGACTTGAAATTTTGAAAAAAAAACGTAAAATGGGCAAGCCGGGTTTTCTGGCGAAAATACAAACTTTTCCTTCGGAAAGTCAATGATCAAAATATTAAGTAATTTAATTATGTTTTTAAACAATGATACATCTATAATAATGACAATAATAATAATATAAGATCTTGTTTTTTAAAATAAAAGTAGCCTAATTTACATCCAATTACATCAGCTACCTGCCAATAAAAGTCCTATCAAAATCTGTCTAGCCGTTTTTGGTTATTAGGAAACCAAGAGACAGACAGACAATTTTTTTAAAAAGTGTTTCTTGTTGTATGTATCAAAAACGATTATTTCAATATTAGAAACAGAATCTAAAATTTTATTTATATGTATGAATATATTTATAATAGTACGTTGTTTTTTTTTAGAATTTTAAATTTCCGAAGTTTTATATTTAACTTCCCGTAGGGCAAGTTATAGTAATCGCAAAAAAATCAAAAATTAAAATTTTTATATATCTTTAGGTTTCAGAGGTTTCTGAACATTCTGGCATACCTTAGAAAAAATGGATGTATGTATGTGTATGTGTGTGTGAGTGTGTGTGTGTGTATGTACGTGTGTGTATGTATGTGCGGATACAAATTTTCGTCGACGATTTCGGGAAAACGGATCAACCGATTTGAATAATTCTAAAAACATTCGATTCGTATTGATAAGGAGACGTGCTGATCAGTTTTTGGCGAAGGCAGGTGTAGCCGTTCCGAAGATACGGGGCAAAAAGTGCCGAAAACGGTAACTCAGTTTTTAAGAGAACGGAGCGTCCGATTTGAATTAAATTAAACATTTTATTTGTATTGACTAAATGAAGAACTGTTCAAATTTTTGGAAAGGCAGGTTCAACGACTTTGGAGATATGGAGGAAAAAGTAAAAAAATGAGCCATTTGGCGGTCAAAAATGATCATTAGACATATGCACATCAAATTATCAGATATTTTATAGAGATTTTAACAATAAGTATACATTTTGTTAACATTCCTATGGGTTCCGTACCAATGCTTATGCGTTAGACAACGACGCGGCGCTTACGCGCTTTATATTTTGTCCTTATGCAGTTAAAGCAGTACGATTGCTTTGAAAAAAAAAGTTCAGATCTTCCACAATATGTCAAAATAAAGAAAAAAAAATTTTTCAAAAATTTTTTTTTTTTTTTTATTTTTTTTTCAAAAAAAAGTAATTTTTTGTCCAATTTATAGTTTCTCAAAAATCTTATTTTTTCAAAGTAAATTTTTTTCAAAAATGTTAATCGTTTTTAAAAAAAAATATTTTTTGGTACGGGAAGTTTCAGCAATTTGCCTTAAGGCACGATGCCTTAATTGCCTTAAGACAGAATTCCACTTACAGCTAGTTATATTATGTATTACTAAATTCTAATAGTCTACATCACAAGAGACGAATGTTGTTAAATATATTTTAAAAAGATTCGACTTCATTGAAACAATTACCATTACGATTATCAGTCTTTTTTCTAACAGTGTTTCTTTCTTCCCCAGATATCGACAAATACAGAGCCGGCTACAGTGACTGTGCCCGCGAAGTGGCGCGCTATCTATCGACCCCCGAGCCTCCGCCCTTGCCGACGTCGCCCTGTCTCTCGGACGCCGCCAGCAAAGCACGCCTGCTCCGACATCTAGACAACTGCGTCGCCGAAATCGACCGGGACATCTGCCCATCGTCCACAGACCTACACCCCGCCAACCAGCCCAAAATCCAACCAGTAACGCCCGCCAAAAGGGAACCGCCTCAACCAGACAGCAGCACGTCCGCCAGCAACGTGGTCAGCCCCGTTTCGAACCAGGACGAAAACAATAACGGCAATAATAGATTGAGGAACCCCACGCCGAATGTAGAGGATTTAATTGAACCCAATGAGATACTGAAGCATGCCTGGGGTGGTCCACAGTTGAGACTACCGGATGGCCAGTTAGTAGTTTTATTACCACCGCATTATGTCCAGTTAGCAGCAGCGTTAGGTTTGAATTTGCAACCTCATACCGGTTCCACAAACGGTGTACCTATATTCATGCCTCCGATGCCCCATGGGGCCATGGAGATACCGCCTCAAGGTGCTTTAGGACTTAACTCCATGACAATGACACAAAGGTGCGACTTTGAGAGGTTGATAGAGTTGTCCAAGAAGCATGCAGGTTACGATGATGTTGGTAAATTAGAACACATGGATGTAGACATGGATAAGTCTTCTAGTCTAGGAAGCGAGAACCAAGTGGTTCCAAACCCAGGAGAGCCGAGCCAACCACCACAACACCATCAGCAAGACGAGAACATGTGGAGACCTTGGTAGATGCAAATTTATTTTATATAAAGAGAGTTTTTAACTTGTTATCAAAGATTTAAATCGTTTATTATTCCTCTAGCTTGTAAGTTCGTACTTAATCTCAAATCGACAAATCAAGGGCTAATTGTTGGAATAAGAACGCTTTTTAAGTATTTTTATACACAGATGTTTATAAATTTTATTCCACCATTTACTGTGAAGCATTGTTAGTGATAAAATTTAAGTCTAAGCGATGTTTGCTTCTAAAACTTTTACATTTGCCACAAAGTATTATAGGATTTAAGTCGCTTCTTTTTGTAAATATGTGTAAATTTTATCGATGATGTCCATTAACAACAGAAATCATGCTATGTAGATATAAGATTGTAAATAATGTGCAATATATGAATATAAAAGAGACAAATGGCATTATTATCCGAATTATTTAGAGTACTGTACTATATGTTATGTATTTTTAGCATTATTGTCAATTTATAAAGATCAAATAAAGAATTATAACATTTAAATGTGATTAATTTATTTTTAACTTCCCATATAATAATAGCAAAACTAGTTGGGCGCATGGCATCGTGCCTTAAGGCAAATTGCTAGAACTTTCTGTACCAAAAATTATTATTTTTTTAAAAACGATTAACATTTTTGAAAAAATTTTACTTCGAAAAAATTAGATTTTTGAGAAACTATAAATTTGACAAAAAAATTACTTTTTTTTGAAAAAAAAAAATTTATTGAAAAAATTTTTTTGAAGTAAAACTTCTTTAGGCGCGATATGGGTGTAAAAATTTCTTTAGGCTACACGGGTGTAAATCCGTACAAATGCAACGAAAATGCCAACGTGTAGTTGAACACTACGACGCCGTAAGCGCTGATGTCGCGAGTATCCACTCCCGTCATGTCATGCGTAAGTCGAGCGCTAAACCCTATATGAACTTGCATTAATTGAATCACGTTTTTTTTACAAAAGAAGAGGTTGCTGTATTATGTCCTCATGGAATAAGACTTTTCTTAGAGAATAAATGTGCCATGGAATATAATAAATTTATACTGAATCTCGTTGAAGACAAAATAATATCTACTGCCACGGATATTTATGTAGGTTGCCATGCGACAGATCAACAATCATACATTCGTCAGCAGTTTCACAAAAATCGGTTATTGATACCGCGGGTTTGCCGTATGAAATAATTTTAGTTCTGAATAAATTTTACATTATAACAACTAATATTGATGTAAGTGATGGCTTAGCTAATGGTTGTGTAGGAAAATTAGTGTACATAGAACGTGGCGATAATGATGAACTTCTACGTTTATGGTTTGAATTTCCTGGTAAGATAGGTAACAAAATAAGAAGAAAGCTGCACATCATATTCAAACTCCTAATATTAGTAGGACAGCTGTGCCGATTCTCAGGAGATCTTCATCTATTCCAATGAATAGAAATAAAATCATATTTGTCAAAAGAAATCATTTTCCTTTAGTGTCTGCTTGTGCACTCACAATACACAAATCACAAGGTGGTACTTTTGATAAAATTGTATATGAATACAATAAAACATATAATCAGCAGCTTCTATATGTTGCATTATCACGAGTTACCAGCATTAATGGATTGTTCATCATTTCAAAAAATTTTATCATGGAAGAAAACGGCCAGCAGGATTAATGAACTTAAAAACTGAATTCCAAAGACTTTCAACTTGTAGATTAATAACACAAGAAGAAAAATTGAGTGAGATAATAAGTTTGAACGACATTTCATTGTTTTCCTTTAACTGCCAAAGTTTACGAGCTCATTTGCCTGATCTGCAAGATAAAGTGCTACAACGTTGTACGTTTTTGTTATTTTCGGAAACTTGGATTAATAATGAAGAACGAATTAATATTCAGAACTATTACTGCGTTACTCAATACAAACGATCGGACTCAAGAGCAGGTGGTGTAGCTGTCTAATGTCTATTATTCATGTTCAGATACTCTTCATAATGCGACTCCTATGCAGTTTCTTGCGCCAACGATATTACTGGATATTTCTAATGAAATTACACAAGTAGGTGATATTACACACACAGAATCAAACATTGATTATAGTCGTCCTTTACATTTCTCCCAATAAAAACATATCAAATATTATTAAATTTCTTCATCAGCAGTTACTTCATTTTTCTTATGAGGGTGCAAAACTTTTAAACACTAATCACAACGAGATACCATTAATTCTTGCTGGAGATTTCAATGTCAATTTTCGTTCAGAAGAATCTCAACCATTAATTGATTTTTTAAATAATAAATTTAATTTAACAATGAATAATTCTCCATTTGAATCAACCACAAGATATGGCACGACTATTGATGCAGTTTTCTCCAGAAATGTACATAGTTTACAAAGCAAAATTTATGTCTCTCATTTTAGTTATCACAAACCTATTATATCATATATGAAATATGATAGCAATTAATCTATCGATGTTGTTTTAAACTGTGTTATTGATGTTATGTGATTATTAATAAATGATTTTTAAAATTTAAATATGATGTTTTTTTTATTTTTATCTTAATTGCCTACTCATACAATATTAAAAGTTTTACTTCAATCGCGTGTGATCCTTACGCGCACTCTTTTTTTCTTTATTTTGACATATTTGGAAATTCAGAACTTTTTTTCAAAGCAATCGTACTGCTCTAACTGCATAGAGACGAATTGTCAAAGCGCGTAAGCGCCGCGTCGGCGGCTAACGGATAAACATTGGTACGGAACCCAAAGGAATGTAAACAAAATTTATACTTATTGTTAAAATCTCTATAAAATAATTTGATGTGCATATGTCTAATGATCATTTTTGACCGCCAGATGGCATTTTTTTACTTTTCTTACTAGATCTCCGAAACCGCTAGACCTGCCTTCATGAAAATTTGATCAGTTCTTCACCTTGTCAATACAAGTAAAATGTTTTTGAATTTTTAAAATCGGACGCTCCGTTCTCTTAAAAACCGTGTTATCGTTTTTGGCACTTTTTGCCCCGCATCTTCGGAACGGCTAGACCTGCTTTCGCCAAAAACTAATCAGCACGTATCCTTATCAATACAAATCGAATGTTATTTAAATTATTCAAATCGGTTGATCGGCGCTCCCGAAATCGTCGACGAAAATTTGTATCCGCACACACATACACACACGCACACACATACACACACACATCCATTTTTTCTAAGGTATGCCAAAATGTTCAGAAACCTTTGAAACGTAAAGATACATAAAAATTTTCATTTTCGATTTTTTTGCGATTACTATAACTTACCCTACGGAAAGTTAAAAATCGAAAAGGAACATTTTTGCATATTTTCGCGTTTCAGAGGTTTCTGAGCTTTTTGGCATACCTCAGAAAAAATGGATGCGTGTGTATATGTGTCGAGACAATTTTTCATCGACGATTTGGGGCGCACGGATCAACCAATTTGAATGGTGCAAAAAACATTCGATTCCTATTGATAGGGAGATGTGCTGATTAGTTTTTGGCAAAGGCAGGCCAACCGTTACGGAGATACGAAGCAAAGATTGAAGAAAATAGAAACCGAGTTTTTGAGAGAATGGAGTATCCGATTTAAATGATTTAAAAAACATTCTGCTTGTGTTGGGAAAAATTATTTAATTTTTTTTGTATATTAAAAATAATTCAGATTTTAATTTTAATTCTAGTTAAAGTTGTAAAGCTTACTTATATACTCTTAATAAATAATTTTAACTTGGCAAAGTTAGTCAGTTTATATAATTCTTATAAATATTGGAAATGTCCTTCATTTCAAGTCCGTTTGATTAAGTTAAATAAACGTTGTAGTCCTTAAGCTCTTATATTTTGTATATAAAATACGAATAATGAAAGTTACAGTAATTATAATAATCTATTTGGAAGCATTTAATATTTCTCGAATATTTGCCTTAAGACACGATGCCATACAGTACTAGTTTGCATTTGCAAATATCGAATTGTTAGAAATTTGAACAATTTGGAAAATACTGATAACAAAATGTCAATATTGTGATAATAAATAATGTAAAAATATTTATTCAACCAAGGAAAATAAACTATAATAAACACAAATAAACTTGATAATGAGAGAATTTAAGACAATGATTAAATTTTCAGATAATCTACCAGATTTTTAGACAAATTAAACTTTTCCAGGCAATCTTCAACATTATCAGACAATTTACAAATATGTTAATCATTTTACAACATTTTCAGACAATTTTCAACATAAAATTTCTTTAGAAGTAGAAAGCAAACGAAGGAAGTAGATATTTCATAGCATTGGAACATAAAATCACATTAAGGATATTTGAAATGCATTTTATTTTTCTCTTCGAGATAACATTTATGATAAATAGTTACAATATTGTGCTATAAGTTTTTATATATCGAAGAACGTTCTAAGTGTTTGAAACAAGATCAAAAAATCGAACAAAGTACAAAGAAGACTATTTTCACCTATACTTTACAAATATTCCTTAGTTGAATATGAATTTATATATTTATTAAGCATATTCTAAATTAATGCCAAGTTTTGTACAAACATGTAAACTTAGAGGAATAATATTGTGCTCTAAGAGACAAAAATTTGTGTCACTAAGATTTTTCATAATATGTTCGAAATGTTTATAAAAAGACTATAAACACGTTCTCAGATACTTATCAGACCTAGTTTTATGCATTTAATGTATTAATTAGTCCTTTAACAGGATTAAAATACTATTCCTTGCATACGACATAACCTCAATTCTAAAACACGCTTTTAAAACAAATTCAAGCGATAAATATTGTAATAAATAATAATAAAGCTTACCTTTATCAATGTAGCACTAATAAAACAACATTATATACATTTTAATCTATTATTTCACTCCAATAAACACTTTTACACTACTTGGCACTTTTTGCAAGACTTGACACTTCGCCATTAAACAAGCTTCAGCGTTGCCAACATCATAACATCAAAACAGTTAAAATACAAAATTCAAAATGGTTGAAACATTAATTTATTAGCATTTATTATTATTTACACATAAAATATAAAAAAAATCTAGAATCTATACATATATAAAACACCATAATTCAGTTTACATTTTATAGTTGACTTAGCTACAAATACATTAAAATAAATAAGTCGTAATTGTGACTAAAGCAACACATCACAACGAACCGATTGATAAGAGTGCTAGCTAACAAAGCTTTAACTTGTTAAATAAATGTCTCATTCAAATTTAAATTCAGCCTTTACACTAGTTAACTCCAATATCATTTTTCCTTATTTAAAGCTGCAATGAATTCCTCAAGTTTTTCCTGGATTTGACGTACCCTCTCTAAAAAGACATAAAACAAACCATTTACATATAAAATATAACTTAAAAAACTTGTTTTGAACATACTTAATTCTTCTGCAAGTGTTACTCTACGACCAGTCAACAGCATAGCTTTCTTTTCGCTATCTTGACTATAATCCTCCAAAACTTCTTTGATTTCTTTATCTAACCTACGTGCTACAAAATATAAGGATAATTAATTTGAATTCACCTTCACATTAAAGAAATACACATTCGAAGTAAACTGTAGAATTAAATTTTAAATCTAATCAAACCTTCACGATTCATAATTTGTTGTCTTAACGCATTCGCTGTTACTTTTGCCATTTGTTGAATCCTCCAGAATAAAACTACATCACAGCAACCTACATCCTCAAACTAAAAGATAATAAAATCATTACACACTTGATTTCAAAATAATTAAAATGTTTTTATTACCTCTTTATTATTTCCTTGTTGGTGATATAGGTAATATAACTTTTTACAATCAAACGCTTTACTTAAAGCCTGATTCAAGAAGAACCTTAAAATAAATGTATAGATTAATAAAAAATGTCTGAAATGCAAGTCATAAGTATGTTTGTACCTTCTGTAAACAGGATGCCAGGTTTCTTTAATATATTCCATGTCTACATCTACATTTATCCTTTGTAAGTTTTTACGAACTGTTGTTACTTCATCATAACTGAGTGTTGGAGGATGTTTCTGTAATAAAAAAATAGAGCATTTATAGACAATCTGTATTAAAAAAAATAGAACATTTATAGACAATCTTGAACATTCGCAAACCAGCTACAAAATACTCATACTAGTTGCAACAATCTCTATGAGTTAAAACAGTCTCAGACAAGCTGCAACAGTCTCAGATGAGTTAAGACAGCCTCAGACAAGCTGAAACAGTCTCATACGAGTTAAAATAGTCTCAGACAAGCTGCAATAATTTCAGACAAGCTGCAATAATTTTAGACAAGCTGCAACAGCCTCAGACAAGCCAAACAGTCTCATGCCAGTTAAAACAGTCTCCGACAATTTGCTGCAGTTTCAGATGAGATGAGACAGTCTCAGATGAGATAAAACAGATTCAGAAAAGCTGCAAAAATCTCAGACAAGCTGCAACAGTCTCAGGCGAGTTGAAACAGTCTCAGACAAGCTAAAGCAGTCTCAGGCGAGCTAAAACAGTCTCAGACAAGTTGCAACAGTTCCAGATGAGATAAAATAGTCTCAGACAAGCTAAAAAAATGCCAGACGAGCTGCAATAGTCTCATATGAGTTAGAATAGTCTCAGACAAGCTCAGACGAGCTGCAACAGTCTCAGTCAAGCTAAAACAGCCTCAGACGAGTTGAAACAGTCTCAGACGAGCTGCAACAGTCTCAGAAGAGCTGCAACAGTCTCAAACAAACTGCAACAGTCTCAAACAAGCTGCAACAGTCTCAGATGAGTTAAAACAGTCTCAGACAAGCTGCAACAATCTCAGATAAAATTAAACAGTCTCAGATGAAATAAAACATTCTCAGACGAGCTAAAACTATCTCAGACGAGCTGCAACAGTCTCAAGCCAGCTAAAACAGTCTCAGACAAGCTGCAAACATCCCAGACGAGCTGCAACAGTCTCACACGAGTTAAAATAGTCTCAGACAAGCTGCAATAATCTCAGACAAGCTAAAACAATCTCAGACGAGCTGCAACAGTCTCAAACAAACTGCAACAGTCTCAGATGAGTTAAAACAGTCTCAGACAATCTAAAACAGTCTTAGACAAGCCGCATAATCTCAGACAAGTTAAAACAGTCTCAGATGAGCTAAAACAGTCTTAGACAAGCTAAAACAGTCTCAGACAAGCTGCAATAATCCCAGACGAACTGCAACAGTCTCAGACAAGGTAAAACAGTCTCAGACATTCTGCAACAGTCTCAGGCGAGTTGAAACAGTCTCAGACAAGCTGCAACTGTCTCAGATATCCTATAACAGTCTCAGATATCCTATAACACTCTCAAACATCCTACAAAAATCTCAAATAACATACAACATTTTCAATGCTCTAAATTTTCCACTTACACTATCGCTATAAATAATCTTATCCAACTCCGATTTGACTTTGCTCCTTAAAGCCTGTTCAGGCGTTGGATTCTCCCATCTGAGCCACCTCTCCTTGGTACCAGGCCCCAACATCTCCCTCAATCTCAATTCGTTGTGGGCTAATCTGTCTCTGACAGCACTTTCTAAGAATTTGATTGCTTCATCCCATTCGGCTTTACTCGAAACTGATCTGTCTTCTAGTGTGTTCAGTTGAATTATCCTTAACATCTCTGAAGCCTGGTAAAAGAAATATAATCCATAATATATGCAAATATATATTAAAATGAATATAACATTATACTTTATCTTCCCACGAATGTCTTCTCATCGCTTCATCGACAACAGCAGCTTTTAAATTATCAAATATTCCATCGTGGTCTGGTAACTGTTGAGCTTTTTTCATAAATTGTTCAAACTCTACTTGTAGCGTCTCCCAGCCTAGAAAAACCCGTTAAAATCAACACCATAATAATCTCTAAATTTAATCATCAGAAATCTTTTCCCTCTTTTCCTATTTACCTGTTTCAACAGATTTTGCAGGCAACGCTTGTTCCGCCCATTGTTTCAATTTAATATCAACAGTCGTATTGAAATTACCTAAACGAAATAAAAAAATATATGAAATAATTTCAGTTTGATTATAATTGGTTACTATTTTCTTACTTGTGCTTCCGGTTTGTGCAGCTGGTAAATAAATGTTCTCAAATACATGGGTCGATACTTTTTCCCAAATTTTTTGCATGAGTAGCAGCTCCCATTGTTTAGGTGATACCTAATAAATAGATGTATATATATATATATATATATATATATATATACTAGCTGTCCCGGGAAACGTTGTTTTAGCAATCTAGGAAATATCTAAAGTTTACCTCAAGACATTGTTTGACCTTAAACATATATAATGATTGCAATAATTGATCCGATAATAAAAGTTGTTCATCCCTAACACTTCATTTTTCATTTTTTTTGATAATTTTTCCTTACTTTACGTTTAAACAACTCTATTACTGTATCTGCTACTCTAAAAAATTCTTACAAAATTACAAATAATTTAAATGGTGAAATAACATTTGCCGAGTCAGCCAGAAGGGTGGAAATCAAGGGTTGTATATATCTTTTTCAAATCTGCATTATAAAAATAAAAGTAAAGGAAATTAAGTCCATCAAATTAAAAAAAAGTGGAAACAGTGAATAACCTTTGATGAAAATAAAGTGTTTTTTTCAAGAACTTTTCTATAAGTTTTCTATAAGTGAACTTTTGTTGAACTAAATGAAAATTGATTTGACTTCTGAAATAAATATTATGATATAGGAATCTCTGGTAGGAGGGTAAAAATTTAGGGCCGATGTATGTTTGAATCACACATTTTAAACATTTTAAATAACAAAAATTGGTTTCATGAATTCAGAGAAAGTGTGAAAGGTAAACAACCTTTAATAAAAAAAAAATTTTTTAAAGCAAAGTGTAAGCCTTTCCATAAGTTTAAGAAAATCTGAATCAAAATTCAGAATTTCAAAAAAATATTCATTGTCTGTTTACTAAAATGACTATTACGAAATAGGGGTTTATGATAGAAGGGCGAAAATTGATAGCTTGTTATAAAATAATGAAATAAAAAGTAACAGATTGAAAATGTTAAAATTGAAATTATTTTCATCTTTTGCCATTGAATATTTATATTTTTATAATATTTTTTTAATAAATTAAAGATTTTGTAAGAAATGATTCTGTTTTTGCCCACCTTGAATAAATTTACGCAATCTGTTATATATAAACACTAATTAAAAACAAATTTTAAATCAATGATGCTCTTTGTTTTGATATTTCGAACAAACTAGCTTATACATACAAAAAAATTAGTTTGGATCATAAAACGTGGATTTCCCATCTGAATCTACATATTTCCATCATAGACATAGGCTACTAAAAATTCGTAACTGTAACATACATTTTGTAGTGTTGTATTTTGACAGTAAAACAATTAAAACGTGATTGTAGATATAAGAAAATTATAGTTCAGTGTTTATAATTTCGTGTAAATGCAAAATATATAAATTTCGTTGAAAAAAAATATTTTTAAAAGCCATGTAAGATCGGAAACGCGTTAAACGAGTACCGTGCAAAAACGGGGGATAGGTGTATATATATATTTATGGTACCTGTGATAGATTAATTATTTCATCCAAGATTTCTCCTCGCGCTTTCTCAAATAATTCATCTCTGTCCAGTTCTCGCAATCTGCAACATAAATTAAAATATATTAAATATATTTGCAAAAAACATTCAGTGACCTATCCATTATTACCTTGGGAAATTGTTCTTCCATTCAGTTTCCAAATTGAACCTCGTGGCTTTAAAAGCATCTGCCTGTTGTTCCACAGTTTCTCGTACCATTTTCCAGAAACATTCAGCTACAGCCAGTGATAAATTTCTCGTTGTAACTTGTCCTGACATCGCTATACCATCCCTGAAAAAAGGATCAATAAATAAATTCTGTATGTATTTATAAATATTGAGTCTGAATTATTTATAATATCTTCGGTAAGAGGTAACAAATAAAAAAGTAGTTGTAATAATATTTAAACAATTTACACATAGTTCATAAGTTGTAAGATTTGAAAAGATGGTTGAACAAAATGAGATTCAGATATTATGATATGCATTTGATAAGCTTTTATTTACTTGAATAATTTACTGTTTCTGAAGAACTGCTCCTCGTGTTGTCTAATTGTAGCAATAGTATCATCCTGACGCCCTCTTCCAGTGACGACAGCAAAATATCCTAAAGCTTTCATCGGGAACAATTTGCCCGACAAAATTTTACGAATCTACAAAAAAATAAGTCTCAAATTACAAATAGTAGAAAAAAGACAGTATCAAAAAGAAAACTAGTGGTGTATGGCATCGTGCCTTAAGGCAAATTGCTGGAATTTCCCGTACCGTAATGAAATATTCGAGAAACATTAAATGTTTTCAAATAGATTACAGTAGAACTCCAATTATCCGAATTAATGGGGACCGGGACCCATTCGGATAATCGGAGTTTGTTTTTAAAAGTGCCATTGGAGAGAAAAAAAGTTACGTGTTGATATTGCACTGTTTTTTTTATTGAATTAAATGAAAGAAACATGACATTTTCACATGTTTTAAATATAAATAAAATGTACTTATGTACAAGTTTAGAAATAAGAATAATTGTTTTGTAAACATCTCCGTCAAATCAAAACAAACAATGTGCCTACGCTGGCTTTGCTGGTGGAAGAATAATAGCGCACTTAGACTTATTTTGGACAATTTTTTTTCTGAAAGTGATTCGGATAATCGGCGATTCGGATGATTGGAGTTTGGATAATTGGAGTTCTACTGTATTATAAATATTGCAACTCATATATGTTTACAGAAATGTAAATAAACAAAACTTAATCAATCGAATTTAAAATAAAGGACAGCAATTGCAACGTTATTATTTATGTTATCTTTATGTAATTATTTATGTTAACTATATAAGTGAGCTTTAGAACTTTAGCAAGAATTAAAATTAAAATCTGAATCATTTTCGATATTCAAACAAATTTTTTTTTGGAAATTAAAAAAAAAGAATTAAAAGCAATCCCAAAATCAATTGTTTCGTCCACATAAGCAGAAAATTTTTAGAAATTTATTAGAAAAATTAAAATAATTTTTTTTTGTTAAAAGTAATTGTGTTGTCAACACAAGTGCAAAGTTTTTTGAATCACTCAAATCGGATGCTTAGTTCTCTCAAAAACTGCCATTTTTTGCACATTTAGCTGTGTATCTCCGAAACCGCTAGACCGGCCTTTGCCAAAAACTAAGCACCACTTCTCTCCGTCATTACGAATTGAACGTTTTTTGAATCATTCAAATCAGGTGCCTGGTTGTCGCAAAAAGCAAATTTCCATTTTTTGCACTCTTTGCTTCGTATCTCCGTAACGGCTGGACCTGCCCTTGCCAAAAACTAATTACCACTTCTCCTAATCATTACAAATTGAATGTTTTTTGAACCATTCAAATCGGTTGATCCGTGCGCCTGAACACGTGGACGAAAACTTGTATCCATACATACATACACACGCAAGCACATACACACACATCCATTTTTTCTAAGGTATGCCAATATGTTCAGAAAGTTCTGAAACGCAAAGAAATGTAAAAAATTTCAATTTCTCCTAGGGGAAGTTAATAAAGTGTGAGAATAATTGTGAATACTAAATTTGGGATTGTCAATAAGATCGTAAAAACGTTTACAAAATATTATAAACAGATTTATTGATAATTTTATTGACTTTTTAATGACATATATAAAAGAAAATTTTATAAGCTTTCATTTGATATATAATAATATATATTAATTATATCAAATAATTAAACTACAGCGAGGTATACAAAAAAGTGTCCTTAGTATTTGTTGTATTCACAATGAACACTTGTAAACATGAACGTAACAGAATGTTTCGTTAAAGTTACGTTCGACTAATGTAATGAAACTTTGCACAGTGTCTTTGCATCGAATAAGAATTTTTAGGCAAAATATTGTTCAGCATAGAAATTAACGTTTTCAAAAAATTGACGACCGAATTGCTAAATAAACGCCCACTTGACTTTCTAATTGGTGGGAGTGAATTTAATAGTTGTGCTCCTAAACGTGTTAAATAAAGTTGCAAGTTTGAATATTATTTTTAATTTCAAACACTTTGAATAAATCTTAAAGAACTGTAACTAATACTAAGGTGACCATACTCATGGTTTGGCCGGGACTGTCCCGGATTTCCACGTTGTGTTCCGGGTTTTTCTAAAATATTTGTCCCGGATTGTCCCAGGATTTCGAAAATCATAGGTCTAAATTGACTCTTCGCTCTTACTTAATAATAAAATTACAACTATCCATCAAAGATCTTAAAATGTTATGCACAACTAGTAGTATATGCTTATATGAAAAAGGCGGGTTAAAAAAGCCTCTAAAATTCATAATTTTGAACTTATATTTGAAATTTTACGAAAATTAACAAAAATATGAAAATTAACTTCTTGACTGCCTGGAATACCTAAGTGTTAATTATATTATACTAGCAAACCCGACGAACTTCGTTTTGCCACCAGATGGTTTCGTGAGAAAGATGAAGAAATTTTTTGTTTGTTTTATATTTGAAAAGAAAAAATTTGATTTTATTGCACAACAGTAATGAATTTATTTCGTTTATAGAAATGAAGTGTTTTTTAGTTGAACTTCTCTAAGTAAATGAAAGTGAATCCGAAGTGAAGTGCTCTTTGGTAAACCACATTTTTTGTTTTTTGGTCTGACGTTAACACAAACAAAGCGGATGGTTTTCCAACTCGTGAACAGGCAACGTATAACTGCCTATGTGAAAAACAATGATTTTCTAAATAATCTATTTGAAATTTATCCCGCAAACACTAAGCGATTGGCCTTGCGACTTGTTATTGCAAACGCAAGGCGAACTGGAAATTGCAATCGTTTGAAGTCAAACGGAAAACCAGTCGGAATTATTGGTATGTCACCAAATCGCCAGCAATTTTTGATTGAATGGTGAAATTCAGTGCGTGTACATCATTATTCTTTGCGGCAAGAATTGCTAGTTGACTTAACCAAGCATAATTCTGATAATTCTCACTAATGTCATTACTCGAAATTTAATTACTGTGCGTGAAATACCAGCAATTGGCATTAGGGCACGATGCCATGCACCACTAATTTTCTTAGCTATAAACCTTGCGGAGCCCGAGACCTTTCCAACGGATGCAAAATTGTCGAATTCGGTTCGTGCGTTCTGGAGTTATTTCGTCAAGAAGGAAAACCCGACTTATTTTTATATATATAGAAGATTATATATATATATTATTTTTAAATAATTATGAAAAAAATTGAACAAAATTTTATAATAAGTTTAAAAGATAACGGTGACTTAAATAAAAAAAAAATATTAAAATCATATTAAATTTTTGACATTAAAAATATTAAATTTGTTAGTATTTACCCCACCGCCCCCATTCCGTCCCGGGTTAGCATAACTAAAAATTACTGTCTCGGGTTTGACTTGAAAAAATATGGTCACCTTACTAATATATTAAGATACTAAGAATTTTCAAGTATTTATTACTTACCCTGTTGGGGTCACTTAGATTCTCCTCGGCCATATCGACTTTGGTCAAAACAAAAATCGTTCGTTTGCCACTCGGATCGCACCTTGCTACCATGTCTGTAACATTACTCCTTTCGGCATCCACTGAACCATCCTGATAATAAAAATAAAATATTATAAAAAAATCCTATTCGAAACAATAGCATTTAAAAACATTTACCTGTATGCACAAAATAATTGCATTAGGATTGCTCATATAGTGTTGAGACATCTGTTGAATGGATTCTCTCGTATCTTTTGCCATATCTACTGTAACTGTCTGAAAAAATAATAATAAAACTTTAAGGTATATAATATTATTAATTGTTAATAATTTCTTTTATCCTTTACCGATATAATTCCAGGTAAGTCGACTAAAACCATTCGTTGTAAACCAGGACCCTTGACACTCATCGAGATGACTTCGTGGCTCACAGTTTTTCCTCCACGGACGGAATTTCTCATTCTTAGTTCAACCTCTCTAGAAAAAAGACATTGAACCTAGGTGTAAGTGGTATTTTGTGTTAAGGCAAGTTGCATCAACTACCCGACATGTGTAAATAATGGACTTAATATATAAGAAATCAATTCAACAAATTTAGTTTAAATATTATTTAATAGTAATTGTTACAAAAGTTCCATTAATGTGATTTTTTATAATTAAACCACTTTTCGTAGTCCTATAATATTTTATCATGTTCATTTAGACACTGTGTAAAGTTTCATTACATTTGTCGAGCGTAACATTAACGAAACGTTCTGTTACGTTCATGTTTGCAAGTGTTCATTGTGAATACAACAAATACTAAGGACACTTTTTTGTATACATCGCTGTAGTTTAATTATTTAATATAATTAATATAGATTATTATATATCAAATGAAAGCTTATACAATTTTCTATAAATGTGTATATCAATTCATATAACGTTTCTAACAAAATTTTATACAATTTTTTTATTTAAACTTTGAAATCAAAATGGTGGGTCTATAATATTAGTTTCATCAGTTGCGGTTTTTTTATCCACGTATATTTTATTATATATAATTAGAAATATAACAATAATTTTATATATTGTTAAAAATCCAATAAAATTGTCTACAAATCTGTATATAACATTTAAAAACTTTTCGAACAAAATTATTTAGGAAAAATCGGTGAAAGATAAAATTTAGTATCCAGTTATTAAACATTAGTGGATCTGATTAGTACATTTTTTTAAATTTAGTATAGTTGTAATAAAATTTTTATATATTTTTATATATTATTATATATCATTAAAAGGCAATAAAATTATCTATAAAACTGTATATGAAATTTTGTAACTGTTAGAACAAAATTATATCAAAATAATTCATCAAACTTTGCAATTAAAATCTTCGTCAGGTGTCCATACTGTTTTAGCTCCAACGCTTCGGTTTATAATTAAATTTGTTTTGTTATAATTTAATTAAAAATATTATTATTATATATTATTAGAAAGCTAATTAAATTATCTATAAATCTGTATATAACAATTAACAACTGTTAGAACAAAATCATATAAAAATAATTCATCAAACTTGGAAATTAATATCGTCGTCTGCCGCCCACATTGTTTTAGCTACAACGCTTTGGTTTATAATTATATTTATTTTGTAACAATTTAATTAAAAATATTATTATTATTATATGTTATTAGAAAGCTAATTATATTATCTATAAATCTGTGTATAACAATTATTAACATTTCTAACAAAATTATATAAAAAAAATCGTTTGTACTTTGAAGACAATACGGCGTGTCTATAACACCAGTTGTATCGGTTGCAGTTTTTTATATCCACGTTTAATATAGAAAAGTAAATATATAATAATAGTATTATATATTGCTAAAAACTCAATAAAATTGTCTACAAATCTGTATATAATGTTTAATAACTTTTCGAACAAAATTATTTAGGATAAATCTGTGAAAGTTAAAATTAAGTATCCAGTTATTAGCCATTAGTGGATCTGATTAGTACATTTTTTTAAATTAAGTATAGTAATTGTGATAAAATTTATTTATATTTCGATAAATCATGATATGTCATTAAAAAGTCAATAATATTATCTATAAATCTGTATGTAACATTTTGTTACTGTTAGAACAAAATTATATAAAAATAATTTATTAAACTTTGCAATTAAAATCTTCGTCAGGTGTCCATACTGTTTTAGCTCCAACGCTTCGGTTCAAAATTACATTTATTTTGTTATAATTGAATTAAAAATATTATTATTATATATTATTGGAAAGCTAACTAAATTATCTATAAATCTGTATATAACAACTTGTAACTGTTAGAACAAAATCTTATAAAAATAATTCATTGGCCTTGGCAATTAATATCGTCGTCAAGCGTCCACATTGTTTTAGCTTCAACGTTTTGGTTTATAATAACAACATTTGATTTTTCGTTATAATTTAATTAAATATTATTATCATTATATATTAATGGAAAGCTAATTAAATTTGCTACAAATCAGTATATAATAATTTAAAACTCTTAGAACAAAATTATATAGAAAAAAATGTTTAAACTTTGGCTTTGCCAAAACATAAAACTTGTATATAAACTGAAACGTTGATATTTTCGGTTACATTTTTTACACTTAATAAAAATTGAAGTAATTTTTGATATTTACCTTCTTAAATCTGCTAAATCTGACTCTTTTGTCAAATCAAACTCTCGGCTTGAGTCTCTGAATTGGGCAACATGATAAGGTCCCTCGGATAGAGTCACTTTAACAGGAGCTCTGCAAAAAAAAACATACAATGTATATATATATATATATATATATAATATGTAAATAAATATATTTTACCTAGTCATCATCTCTCCACCTCCCCTAGGAAAAATTCTAGCCTGTGCAATAGCCTCCAAAACAGAAGTCTTCCCAGAGCTCTGGTCTCCGACAACCACAACTCTTGGTAAATGATCAGCAGTGCTGTATCCAGTATCGTAATCTGCCAACTCGTCCAAAACTTCACTGTACATATCTATTAGAGATTTCTACAACACAAATTGTGAATGAATATATGTATATCAATGATATTAAAACTAGTTGGTTTGGTATTTAGCCTTAAGGCAAGTTACATGAACTTCCCGATATGTGTAAATAATCGACTAAATCAAAAAAAAATATGTGTAAATAATATACTTCATCAATCCTGCTTTAAAAAAAACGATAATAATTTTAGCAAAGTTTGACAAATTTTCAAAATTAAACTACTTGTCGTAAGGCCATAATATTACAGTAAGTTCCATAAGACCATGATGTATATCGCCAAAAAAAGTTCCATGAAAATCGGCTTAAATTTTTTTTTCAACAGATCATTACAAGAAAACGGCTCGGTAGATTTTCACCTAAAATTAATCAGTACGATTCCCAACTAATATCTTTCGAACAGTTTTTGATTTTTTAAAATCGGTTCGGTAGGATGAGCTTAAATGTGGACGAAAAGTTTAACACTTTTTTTCAAATTGCAAAGAAACGGCTTGGCAGATCGTCTCACAAAACTGACAAACGATAGTCCTCATTGAGATACATCAAATGGCTTTTAAATTTCTGAAATCGGTTCAGGCGTTTTTGAGAAAACGTTGATCAAAGGTCTAATTTTGACAAATGCCAAAAAAACGATACCAATTTTTGCAAACTTTGACGAATTTTCAAAGCTAAACCAGTTGTCGTAGGGCCGTAATATTTTAGTATGATCTACAAGACTATGGTATCTACCGCCAAAAAAATAATCATAAAAATCGTCGAATTTTTTGTTTTTAAAACTTTATTACAAGAAAACGGCCCGGCCGATCTCTACCAAAAACTAATCAGGTCGATTCCCAACCAATATCTTTCGAACGATTTTTGAATTTTCAAAATTTATTCAGAATTGCGGGCTAAAACGTAGACGAAAAATTTTTCACTTCTTTGCTGTTTACGAAGAAACGGCTTGGCCGATCGTCGCACAAAACTGACAAACAATAGTCCTCATCGAGATACATCGAATGGCTTTTAAATTTTTAAAATCAGTCCAGCCGTTTTTGAGAAAACGGCGATTTACGGCAAAAAATCTGTTGGTGCACACGCACACACACACACACACACACATATACTTTTTCCAAATGTTGGTCTCATTCGGTTCAGAATGGCTTGAAACGTCGAGAAAACATAAAATTAGCGAATCGGATTTATTGATGAAAACATAAACTTCTCCTTCGGGAAGTTAAAAAGATGATTTTCAAATAAATTTATTCCACCTTGATCTTCTTCAATCCAGTTTTCCTGTTACTTTTCAATATAAGATTTTGTTTACGCAATTCTTTATTCTCTCTTTCCAATCGCTCCAATTCACGTTGATATTTTATTTGTACTGCAATCACTTCGTCCTGCAAAGCTTCCAAACGTTGTTGGGCTGTCTCTAAAAGTAAAAGAAACTTCAATAATAATATATATGTAATAATATTTCCTCTACATTATAATTCTGATTAATTCAACATACCATATTTTTTACGATCCTCGTTTGAATCTTGAACTTGTGTAGCAGCTCGAGCAGCATAAACTGTAGCTTTGGCTTTGATGTCTTCGGACACATCTAGAACAAAAAAATAATACAATAGTGTTTAACTAAATTAAATTGACTACTAGACATAAAACTACACACATAATACTTTATCAAAGGCCATGATTATCAAACAAACATTTCTATAATTTTAAATCAATGTAAATGGATTGCATTTTATTACCTGTATACAAATTTGTAACAAGCTGAGTTAAATTCTTGGAGGTACCTGTGCAGAAGAGAATTAATTTTAATAAACATATGATTTTTAATTGTTTTACATAATAGAAATTTTTGGACTGAGATATCAAGAAAAGTTTGTTTGATTAATTGGCATTAATAAACATAAAGAATGTTACGAGACATGAATGCCGAATTAAGGGGCAAAACTAGTGTAAAATTTTCAAAAAATCGATTTTTCAATTTTTCCATATTTCGATAGGTTATGCGTGTTCTATACATAGTTCTCCGTAAAATGAACTATCGATTTTTTGATCGGATCAAAAATCGAATTTTGGCAGTCCAAAAACCTACCAAAATCTTGGGTAAAATTCGACTTTTTTTTCAAAAACGCCGTCATTTTGTCAATTTTTTTTTTTCTTTATCGTAGTTCATTTTACAGACAATATTATCTAGTTTAACGAGATTTTTTTTTTAATTTCATCCACGCAGAAGGCCGGAATCACTGCAGCAGTGAAGGGCCTTTTTTTTGTCGCGCCGTTGGAGATCGACGATAACTTAAAAAATATTTAATTTTTTTCTTCAAAAATTTTACTATGTATTCTCAAAATATGTATAAATATATTCCTAAAATTTTGAAATGATTGATAAAGTAGTTTTTTTAATATAAATTCCCAAAAATCACCTTTTTTTAGGCGGTTACACTAGTTGTGCCCTTTAACACACTATAGGCGGGGCGAGTAAAAATACCGGTTTTATGGACGTTTGAATTTGGTTAACTTTGAAATCGATTCACATATGATATTGAAATTGTTAGTTGGTTGTTTTTACTTAGATTCAATTAATTTAGTTTAGTATTTTGTTAATTTTTTTTACATTTCTTCAAACGACTTAAAATTTTCATTCCGAACATTTTAGTTTGTATACATCAGTAAAAACTAGATAAAATTTTACATATTGATGTTTTGAATAAAACTTGTTGGAACATTTATTTTCTGGTAATATACTTAGCAATGGACGTGAATTTTGGACATTTTTTATATTTCTTTAAATAACTAGACTAATAATATTTTTATATTTCTTTAAATAACTAAAAAATTTTGCCCAGGACACTTTGTCCAGTAAAAAGTACCAGTAAAAAGTATATAAAATTTACTAAAATATAGTAAAACTGTTATATGCACTTCGATATCAAAATTTTGAATAATTCATAGTTGAAATGCAGGCTTTAGTATTTTGATTTGCAATATATGGATTTTATATAACTTTTCTGCTTTTCTTCAAATAACTTTAAATTTTCTTCTCAGATATTATAATTTGTTTATATCAGTAAAAACTAGATAAAATTTATTAAAATCAAGTAAAGACTGTTATATACACTTGTATATAAAAATTCTGAACAATTCGTAGTTGAAATCCAGACTTTAGTATTTCCATAATTTGCTAGAATAATTTTTTACTTTTCTTCAAATAACCTAAATTTATTAGAATTTAGTAAAAATTACAAAATATAAACGTAAAAATGAAATGAGTTTTAATAACATTAAAGAGACATTCATAATTTGACTGTATTATACAACTTTCATTTTATTATTTTTATGTATTATTATATATTTCCAGAAAAGCTTTTTTTTATATTTCAAATTCTTTGATTTTCATTTAAATTAAAGTTTATAATTGAAATTTAAGAGTTCATGTTTTTTTAATATACTATAAATCTTTAAAGGTTGTTAAATATTATATATTTATATATAAAGTAAAAAATTAAAAAATATAAACTGTAAAAATGAAATGAGTTTTAATAACATTAAAGAAACATTCATATTTTACTGTATACAACTTTTTTGTTATTATTGTGATGTATATATATTTCCGGAAAAGCTTTTTTTATATTTTAAATTCCTTTGATTTTCATTTAAATTAAAGACAAGAATTTTGACCGCTTATAGTGTGTTAACTATGTTCTTGTTAAATAAATAATATACCATAAATCTTTAAAGGTTGTTAAATATTATATTTATATATATATATATATATATTAAGTTTAAAAATGTTTATATTAGTTACACAATGCAAAATACTTTTACACCAACAAGTTCAATCGACTTATTGAACAAAATATTTACACAAAATCTATTTAGTTAAATATAACTACTATATAATTTCCTACATATTAAATACCTTCGATAGCCGGCTGTTTACTCTCTTCAATTTTGGCAGCTTGTATAGCATCTTCCAGTCGTCTATCAAACCAACTTTTGAATTCCATTGCTTTCGCTTCACCTAATGCTTTTAACCTAGGATCTTGGAGAAGAAGACACAATCAGTTCCAATTTTAATTATATATATATATATATATATATATATATATATATAATAGGAAAAATATTTAATAAATGGTACCTATGACTATGCTATCTTTTATTGTATCTTTGAGACTAATTAAACTTTTTTGATATCCTGACCATTGTTCTGAATCAGGAAGTACATCGTCTAGCCATTTCATATCAGGTAAACCGTCTTTCCATTCTTCATATTTCTAAAAAAACAAATGAATATATAAATTTCTTTGCTTGGCAAAATACAAGATCAATTCTGCTCGCTATAAAATCAATTACAGAATTTAAAGAAGAATAAAAATCTATATTACAATTACCTTTTTCAAAGTAACCCCTCCACCAAGGGCTCCTCCCAGTACAATATACCTAAGTTTCAAGACTCCTCGAACAGCCCTAAGCAAAAACATGCCATATCCACGTCTATGACCGTATTGAATAGGTTTATAAGGTTGCAAGAAAACTTTTCTGTGCCCCCTTGACTCGTAACGTCCATTGCAAGTCGTGAAATTCACTTGAGACAATTTTAACGTCACCGCCCGACCGTACGACTTATAGGTTAGGATCGGCTTTCTAAAAATAAAATAAACACAGGCAACTTATATATAACACACACATTATAAAATAACACATTTGGTTGTTTGTAATTGAATAATATAACAACAACTACATAAATTACATATACAATAAATATATATTCTTTGACATTTGAATTGTGCAACTCGTATCGTACCCGAATTTTCCCCGAAGAACGTTCGCCATGACGAGAAATTATTTATTTATTAACTGATTTTTTATACATAATAAAAGTGCTTTAGCAACTATTAAACATACTGTTAAATTATAATAATATTATATAAAACTGTCAAAGAATGTCAACCGGCGCTAGTGCGGCCGCCATATTGAAAGTGATGAACTGTCAAAAGAGTGGCGCGAGATTCAAAAGACAAAAAATACAAAAATCATAATGGTAAACGTTATAATTACATTATATACAATCATATTATATATATATATATATATATATATATATATATATTTTGTATGATTCTGAATTTGATGTTGACATATGTATTAACAAAGTCATGTTATGCCCGATTATTAGACTTTGTTAATATATATATATATATATATATATATATATATATATATATATATATATCACATTCATTATAAAATAACACATATTGTGGTTTGCAATTGAATAATATATCAATTATAAATAAATATTCTTGTATTTGGCTTTTGAATTGTGCAAATCGAACAAATTATAATAATCATATAGATATTAATAAAGAATGTTAACTGGCCGCGATAAAAACGAAAAAATTCTTTTTAATTTTAAAATCAACAGAAAAACAAGTTAATATTGTTAGTTTATATATTCATTTTATTTTTAATGCATATGTAATTATTTTATAAAACAATGTGATTGTTTGTGTGTTTTTTTCCTGGTGTGGTATGTATATTTTTTAATTATTTTGAATATATTACGTTTATTTTTTAAAAAAAATCGTTATAACAATTTTTTTTAGATACTGTTAACAAAGAATTGCTGAATGATGACACACAATCCGTGTCGAAACGTATATTTTAAATAAATATTTTGTATTAATTTGTTTTTTTTATTTCGACGACTGACTGAAAATCATATCAAGATATATATATATATATATATATATATATATATATATATATATATATACAATAAAAAGAAAATTAATTATTAAATTTTATAAATGGTACGCATACATTTCATTCGATTTATACATTTTAATTTCAGTTTAAAATTTTTTTATGTAATGTATTCATATATAGTATTGTAATAAAAATAGTTATTGTATTGTCTATATATCTATCAAATACATTATATTAGACAAAACACTATATTAAATACTTTTATACAAAACAATTTATTTCTTTACAGTTTATTAAAATATTTAAGTAAAAAATTAAGATTTAAAAAATGGACACAATTTATAAAATTGAATATAATTTTATCCCTTAAATCAGTCATAATTAATAATTTTATTTAAGGCATTCTTATTATGAAAATTATGTACTAATAATAAACCCTGTTCTGGTACACATCTTAAATCACGATCATTCATCCTTCTTTGAGTTTCCTATGAAGAAAATAATATTATATATATATATATATATATATATATATATATATAATTATATAAATATAATACTCACTTGTAACATAATTTTGTACTGAATCTTTAACTTTGTATGCATATTTTTTGCATTTATCAAACTCTTTCTGCCCCGGAATCTTTTCGTACAACGTTTTAGGATTTGGCATATTTTCCTTGATTTTGGTATAACTCTAAAAATTGTATACATATAATTAATAAGTTCAATATATTATATTTTTAATATAACAAAAATCTTACTGTGTTTGTCAAATGTTTCAACGAGTCCTTGTATCTTGTAAAAGATTCCCTATTTGGTAATTTGCTGTAGATATTTGTCATACTGTCTGTCCATACTTGAATTTTCTAAAAAAAATATATTTTTTAGAGAAATAAAGTATCTCGAATTTGTATAATGAATTATAAAGTTATTCAACTGTATCTTTCATATTATTAAAAGATTTCTTGCATTTGGAAAAGGATTCTTTATCAGGAAGAACACCGTAGACTTTTTTGAAACTCGGTAAGCTTTGCTTCCATTCTTGATATCCCTGTTGAAAAAAAAAAATTAAATTAATATATTATAAAATTAATTACATATACCAAATTTTATAATTAAAGCGGTTTTTCCTAGGCCTATAATATTTTATCATGTTCATTTAGACACTGTGCAAAGTTTCACTACATTAGTCGAACGTAACATTAACGAAACATTCTGTTACGTTCATGTTTACAAGTGTTCATTGTGAATACAACAAATACTAAGGACACTTTTTTTGTATACATCGCTGTAGTTTAATTATTTAATATAATTAATATATATTATTATATATCAAATGAAAGCTTATAAAATTTTCTATAAATGTGTATATCAATTCATATAACGTTTCTAACAAAATTTCATACAATTTTTTTTTTAACTTTGAAATCAAAATGGTGGGTCTATAACATTAGTTTCATCGGTTGCGTTTTTTATATCCACATTTGTTTTGATATAAATAATTAAAAATAATAATTAATAAATAGTATTATATATTGTTAGAAAGCTAATAAAATTGTCTACAAATCTGTATATAAGGTTTAATAACTTTTCAAACAAAATTAATTAAGAAAAATGTGTAAAATTTACAAGTTAGTATCTAGTTATTAACCATTGGTGGATTTGTTTAGTACATTTTTTTTAAATTTAGTATAGTTGTGAAAAAAAAAATTATATTTTTATATATTATGATATATCATTAGAAAGCAAAATAAATTATCTATAAATCTGTATATAACATTTTGTAACTGTTAAAACAAAATTATATAAAAATAATTCATTAAACTTTGCAATTAATATTGTCGTCAGGCGTCCATACTGTTTTAGCTTCAACGCTTTGGCTTATAATTAAATTTATTTTATTATATTTAATTTAAAAATATTATTATTATTATATATAATTAGAAAGCTAAATAAATTATCTATAAATCTGTATATAAAACTTTTTTACTGTTAGAACAAAATTATATAAAAATTCATCAAACTTTGCAATTAAAATCTTTGTTAAGCTCCCACATTGTTTTAGCTTCAACGCTTTTAGTTTATAATTAAATTTATTTTGTTATACTTTAATTTAAAAATATTATTATTATTAGATATTATAAGAAAGCCAATTAAATTATCTATAAATCTGTATATGAACATTTGTAACTGTTAGAACAAAATTATATAAAAATAATTCATCAAACTTTGCAATTAAAATCTTTGTCAAGCCCCACATTGTTTTAGCTTCAACGCTTCGGTTTACAAATATATTTATTTTGTTATACTTAATTTAAAATTATTATTATTATATATCATTAGAAAGCTAATTAAATTATCTATAAATCTGTATATGAACATTTGTAACTGTTAGAACAAAATTATATAAAAATAATTCATCAAACTTTGCATTTGAAATCTTGTCAAGGTCCCACATCGTTTTAGCTTCAACGTTTTGGTTTATAATTAAATTTATTTTGCTATAATTTAATTAAAAATATTATTATTATTATATATCATTAGAAAGCCAATTAAATTATCTATAAATCCGTATATAATAACTTGTAAATGTTAGAACAAAATTATATAAAAATATTTCATGAAACTTTGCAATGAAAATCTTTATCAGGCGTCCATACTGTTTTAGCTCCAACGCTTTAGTTTATAACTAAATTTATTTTATTATAATTTAATTAAAAATTATTATCATTATTATATATCATAAGAAACCTAATTAAATTATCTATAAATCTGTATATAAAACTTTTTAAGTGTTAGAACAAAATTATATAAAAATAATTCATTAAACTTTGCAATTAATATCGTCGTCAGGCGTCCACATTGTTTTAGCTTCAACGCTTCGGTTTAGAAATATATTTATTTTGTTATTCTTAATTTAAAATTATTATTATTATTATATATCATTAGAAACCCAATTAAATTATCTATAAATCTGCATATAACACCTTGTAACTGTTAGAACAAAATTATATAAAAATAATTCATCAAACTTTGCAATTCAGATCGTCGTCAGGCGTCCACTTCGTTTTAGCTACAACGCTTTGGTTTATAATTAAATTTATTTTAATATAATTTATTAAAAATATTATTATTATATACAATTAGAAACCTAATTAAATTATCTATAAATCTGTATATAAAACTTTTCAACTGTTAGAACAAAATTATATAAAAATAATTCATCAAACTTTGCAATTCAGATCGTCGTCAGGCGTCTACACTGTTTACCTTCAACGCTTCGGTTTATAATTAAATTTATTTTGTTATATTTAATTTAAAAATATTATTATTATTATATATCATTAGAAACCTAATTAGATTATCTATAAATATGTATATAAAACTTTTTAACTGTTAGAACAAAATTATATAAAAATAATTCATCAAACTTGGCAATTAAAATCTTTGTCAAGTTCCCACATTGTTTTAGCTTCAACGCTTTGGTTTATAATTAAATTTATTTTGTTATACTTTAATTAAAAATATTATTATTATTATATATCATTAGAAAGCCAATTAAATTATCTATAAATCTATATATAATATTTTGTAACTGTTAGAACAAAATTATATAAAAATAATTCATCAAACATAACAATTAATATCGCCGTCCACATTGTTTTAGCCTCAACGTTTTGGTTTATAATTACATTTATTTTGTTATATATAATATATGTATGTATCTATTATTACCTTGTTCAGTTTGTATCCATAATAAACAAAGAAGGCACCGGCAATAAATCGTATATTTATCACATTATCCACAACCTTTTCTGTCACCTTTTTAGCAATTTGTACCTTCCAACTGTCCTCTTGAAATTGTCCATATTTTATATATTTCCTCGAACGTCTCGTTTTTTGGATTTTGTGGGAATGAACACAAAAACTTCGGCAGTGTTGAATTGCAAGCGATTTTGCGACGATGGAATGCATTATAAATTTCACGTTTTATAAACCAGTCGATTCTATTTTTTCTTATCTTGTAAATTGATAAACACGACGTTTTTGTAATATATAATCAGACAGATAGTACTGTCTGTAAATGTTAGATTGAATCGTTTTGGTTTATTTTATATGAAGACCTTCTGAAGAGATCGGATGTCGTCGGACATTCACGGTTTGATCCAACTAGTGATGTTAAATAAGAATAAAAGTGAGGTTCAAAAGACATCGATGTGCAACTAGTGGAAGAATTACAGAGTTGATAGTCAAACCGAACACCTTAAAACAGCGGTTTCCAACGTTTTCGGGCGCACGGATCAACCGATTTGAATAGTTAACTTGTGGGGCGCATCGCATCGTGCCTTAAAGCAAATTGCTGGAACTTCCCGTACCAAAAATTATTATTTTTTTAAAAGATTAACATTTTTGAAAAAATATTACTCTGAAAAATTAGATTTTTGAGAAACTATAAATTTTTGACAAAAATTTACTTTTTTTCTGAAAAAATAACTTGTTGAAAAAAAAATCATTTTGAAAGTTTTGAACTTTTTTTCAAGCGATCGAAGCGCGTAAGCGCCGCGTCGCCGTCTAACGGATGAACATTGGTACGGAACCCATAGGAATGTGAACAAAATGTATACTTATTGTTAAAATCTCTATAAAATATCTGCTAATTTGATGTGCATATGTCTAATGATCATTTTTGACCGCCCGATGGCATTTTTGTTTACTTTTTCCTCTATATCTCCGAAACCGCTGGACCTACCTTCATGAAAATTGTAATAAATAAATAAATAAATAAAAATATTCCTCGAATATTTCGTTATGGTACGGGAAGTTCGAGCAATCTGCCTTAAGGCACGATGCCATACACAGTTAGTTTTGTTTTTTTGTTGAAGGACCAGATAGAATTGTATAGTGCTCAAACATAGAAGAGACTGTGTATCACATGTCTGAGCGAATATTGCCGACGACAATCGCGGACTAGTAGATCACATCGTGTGTTTACTGGGTTTATATGTTATATGTTTGATTTTAATAATATAATGGCAATTGCGACGGCTGATAATTTTTTAGGAAATTATATTCATAATATTTCCCCTGTGAAATAAATGTACATAAAATCAAATCCTCCTGTTAAAATTGGTTTATATATTATAAAGTTTATGTTAGGCACGTAACATATGACATGTGACAATTTGTCGTCGGTAATGTTCGCTCAGACATGTGACATCATAGTTGACCACTATATACAATCAAAAACATATGTGGATTAGCAGTCCATGTTGTGTAATGCCTACGAGTACAAGTCACTACGACGTACTACGAAAGTACAATCGCGTTCATTCATCATAATTGCTGGAACTTCCCGTACTGTAACGAAATGTTCGAGGAATATTGAATGTTTTCAAATAGATTATTATACAAATATTGTAACATTGTCTTACATTATATAAACTGAATTGCAGAGTTGAAATTATTTGTAATATATTATAACCAGGGCCGGTCCTGCCTTGCATGCGATGCATGCAAAAAATGCGGGCGCACGCCTTAGGGGGCGCAAAAACGAGTTTCGGAAACTAAATTTGTAATATAATATTTATATTTTTTATTAATTATATAAAATCTAGAATACTTGATAAATTATAATAAACAATCTAACTTAACTAAGGATACTGAGACAAAAAAAGCATATTTATTTTGCAATGTGATATCAGTAGAAACAATTATCCGATTAATAACTCTGCAAGCTCTGTTTATTGCTTAATCTACTCATTCAATATTTTCTTTGTTTGAATTTACCGTGGAATCGAAAAAGAAATTATCTAATGTTCAATCCCGTAAGCGCAAACCTGCGAAAGATTACACAGGCCAACAAAAAAACTTTTTTTTTTTGGTGCCTCAAATGTTAGAGCTGATTCTTATAGAATTTTTTGCGCTGATTTCGAATCTGCAAACCATTTTTTTGTATCAGCTCTAGTTTTTGAGATACAAAGAAGTTGCCGAAACCAGGTCCATTCGAGGTCGTCACGGAAAAGAACTTTTCACAGTGTGTACTAATGTCCCAACTAAGGCCGAATGGGTCTTATAAGTTTGTATGTACGAGTAGGCATATCTCATTAAAATAACATTCGGAATTGTATTACTCTTTTGTACTTTCGTTCCTTATATTAGGTGCGCAACTAAGTTCTCGCTGTTTGTCAGTATATGGCTCTATGAGTAAGGGTTGGTCGATTTTGACAAATCCAAAACGTCTTGAAACAAGCTTAGAGTAAGTAAACAAACTGCTGCGACACATAATTGATTTCGTTTTTGCATTATATACTTCTGGTTAAGTGAATATGTCCAATTTTATGCCAAACGATCGTATTTGCGAGGAGTGTTGATTTTCGTCTTCCATTCAAAAAAAAACGAGAACTCAAGTGCATCGAGACCTACGGAAATGTTGCTCTGAGCGAAACAACATGCCGTGAAGGGTTTTATCGCTTCAAAAATGGTGATTTTGATGTTGACGACCACCCACGTGAAGGAAGGCCAAAACCTTCGAAAACGCTAAATTGAAGGCCTTGTTTGAAGAGGATTCGTGCCAAACTCAAGAAGATCTTGCTTTAGAATTAGGAGTTACCCATCAAGCTATTTCCAAGCTATTGTATGCGTCGGGGATGATTCAGAAGCAAGAAACTTCGGTTTCTTGTGAGTTGAAGCCAAGAGACGTCGAGCGTCGTTTTTTCGCCTGTAAACAACTGCTCCAGCGGCGAGAAAAGAAGAGGTTCTTCATCACATCGTGACAGGTGATAAAAAATGAATACAATACAGCAATCCAAAGAGGAGAAAATCTCGGTTCGTCCGAATATTCACTGCGAAGGTTATGCTCTACATATGGTGGGACCAGGTCGGTGTTATTTGTTATAAGCTGTTAAAACCGAGTGAAACCATCACTGGAGAACTGTATCAAACTCAATTGATGCAATTTTTTTATAATAAAGTTACTTTTCATCGAAAAAACAGCGAGAACTTAGTTGCGCACCTAATATCGTAAAATATATCATATAGGTCGTATCTTGAAAACTAAAGCTCATAGAAAAAAACCAATGTCATTTTTGAAATCAGCGCCCCAAATATACTTAAAAACAGTATTAAAATCGTTTGCACCATTTTCTTTGTTGACCTGTGTTATTAATTATTGACGAAAAATTGCGAGCTGATTTAGTTGAAACGGAATTTGTTAAAAATATATACAAATTATAATCGGGAAAATAAAAAATGGGGAGTCAGTGCTTAGAAAATGGCATGTTTATTCCGAGAAATTGAATTGTAACTTTTGCTTTTGTTCCAAATGTTTCGCTGGATGAATTTTGAATGTTGAAGACATGCGTGATTAGGGTTATGGAAATGGAATAAATCTAAAAGGAAGCAAAATTTACTTTGGAACAAAAATCTTAATGCTTTTTTTATATCTAGTGGTGTCCATACTCTAAATTTAATAATTATTAACTATGCAGAAATAATGCATATCAAATATAATCAGATTCTTTTTTCAATATAGTACAAGAAATGTGTATTTTCTTTTTTTCATTTTTACTGATTTTTGGATAATACTTCTAAAATACGTTAAAAAATTATCACAATCACAATTTAAACAATCTGATACTTTGAATATGACGGGAAAACAAGGACGAATACAATTCGGGTCTTACGATATCAATAAGGAGAATTTTACGCCGCACTTTTTGATATTGAAAATAATGAAAAATTAAATTGAATTAAAATTTAAAAAATTCAACATGAAATACATGAAAGCTAGTTTTTTTTAGCTCTCCTGGCATGATTTGCTCAATAGAATAAAACGCATAATAAATAAGTAAAATGTTTCAAATTCCAAATATTAATATTGCACATACGTTAAAAATAATTGAACATTTAAAAATATTTGATAATAATCAACCCGCGAATGGCCTCAATTTTTTAAATAAATTTAAAATCAATGTATTTTATGTGCTTTTAGATTATATCTAATTTTTTGTGTACTAAATCCTAAATAATTAAAAATCCTAGATTAAACTAAATCCTGAATAATTAAAAATTAATTTAAAAATCATATGTACATATTTATATAATTTTAATAATAAACTGTTAAAACAGTTAAAATTTTAAGGGGGGGGGGGGGCTCTAGCTCTAAAAAAAGTTGCATGCGGGCGCTAAGGACCCCAGGACCGGCCCTGATTATAACTATAGTCAGAATTAAAATTGAAATCTGAATTATTTTCGATACACAAAAAAATTTTTTTTTTTTTAATTTTTTTGAAAAAAAAAAGTTGAAACAAATTTTTTTTTCCAAAATCAATTATTTTGTTAAGATAAGCAGAAAGTTCTTTGAATCATTTAAATCGGACGCTTAGTTCTCTCAAAAACTGCCATTTTTTACACATTTAGCTCCGTATCTTCGAAATAGCTGGGCCTGCCTTTGCCAAAAACTAATAAACACTTCTCCCAATTATTACTAATTGAATGTTTTTTAGATCATTCAAATAGGATGCTCCGTTCTCTGAAAAACTCGATTTCAATTTTCTGCACTCTTTTCTCTTTATCTCCGTAACGGCTGGACCTGCCTTTGCCAAAAACTAATCAGCTCTTTTCCCTATCAATAGGAATCGAATATTTTTTGAACTATTCACATTGGTTAATCCGTACGCCCGAAAACGTGGGCGAAAAATTATATCCATACACATACACATACACACATCCATTTTTTCTGAGGTATGCCAAAATGTTCAGAAACCTTCAAAACGTCGAGAAATGTAAAAATGTTCAATTTCGATTTTCGGCCCATTACAATAACTTACCATACGGGGAAGTTTATTACTAAAGTCATTAAAATTACAAAATCTTACAATCTATCCCCAAAGAACAAACCAAGCATACATTTCAATATTTTTTATTTAAAACGTTCAATAATAATATTATGTAGGCAGTCACAGGAGGTTGTTACAAAATTCGTATAGTATACTTGAGTTTCATTATTTTTCATTATCATTATTAAATATCAACGTAACCTAATTTACAACAAGTTAAAAAATAGAATTATTAAATAATTATTTATTCTTCGTAACGAAATATAATCACTTCGTAAGTACAAAAATAATTACCCTACTAATTCTTGTATAAAAAAACAGTCATCAGATCTCCTACGAATCCATGTAAAGTGTAAAATATTTGATCACATAATACTGATAGTTTAAAATTGACATTTCAATAAATAGAAAAAGAGAATGTTACCAATTTTGCGCTTAACATCTAAGGTTACCTCTCGATAAACTCACATTTATTTATTAAAACAGCGATTACTATCAACCAATAACGTTTCGAGAGGGAGGTTTATTTTTTATTATATCTGAGGTATATATTTGCGAGAAGAGATAATTCACTTACGATTACAATTATTATTTACTAACATCCATAACCTCGTGTATCGCGACACGATATGATAATAAAACGTGCAGGTAAAATAAAACACCTAGTAGTTATTGCATTACTTCGGTTTAAGGATCGATTTCGAACACTGGCATCTTTTCATACTTTTCGAGCGTTTTTGCATCATCTGTGTCGACCAGGAGGAGAGTGTGCGAATATCCCATCGTAACTTGCGGAATCTTCATTCCTTCTAATCGCGAGACTTCTTTCGGGGTCGACGAAGACTTCTGGAGATCGCCGAGACCCTGGGTAAAAGAAATATAATACACCGATTATATATATTATATATATATATATATATATATATACATATATATCTTATCTATATATATAAATCTCGTGTCACGATGTTGGTTCGCGATGGACGCCCAAACTACTGAAGCGATTTTAAATTTTATTGACTCATCGTGTGCATATATATCCAACTTAGGTTATAGGAAATTTTGAAAAGTAAATTTCAAATATAAATATATAATTTTTATAAATTTCTAAAAATTTTGACACAAAATGGCAAAAAAAAAACAAAACACAAAAATGACAAATGTCAAAATTTATGGAAAATTCGATATATAATTTTTGAAAAAAAAATTTGACATTTCAAAAAATAAAATTCAAAAACATGTACATATATAGATATTCCCAGCATTTATATCCAAATTAGATGAAATGCTATATTCAAAATCACAATTTATAGTTTTAAATCTAATTAAAAGTCAATGTTTATAAATTTGAATAAATGTTGACATGAAAATTGTCAAATGTCATTTGTCAATATTTATGAAAATAATTATATAAATAGATTTACGATTTAGATTTAATTGATTAGCTTACCAAATTATCTTGGAAATCAAAACTTCATCAAAACATTATAGATCAGAGATCACAATAAAAAAGTGGCATATTGAATTTAAAATTAAACATAAACAAAATTTTGACATTTCACAAAAAAAATGTTTGACGACTTACTTCAATATGAAGCAAATAAATTAATTATTCCAAGTTATGTTATAAGAAATATTGCCAAATAAATTATCTATAAACATTATTGCAAAATAAATACTATCATTTTCGACCAAAAAGGAAATATTTTGACATTTATAAATTTAGTGCATATTGCATATATGAAATTGACATTAACTATTTAAATTAAATGCAAATGTAAAAAATCTGATGTTTATATAAAAAATTGTATATTTAGCTAATGATACTGCGTTTTAGACTAATCCATGATGCGAGTGAATTAATTTTGGAAGTATGAAATGTCAAATAATTTTGAAAATTATAACAAGTTTTTAACTATTTGTCAGAAAGGATATATTTTATTACAAATTCATATCCATATCAAGCACCAAAGTAATAAATAATACTTATCAAATGACATTATTTATATACAATATTTAATGAATATTTTAATTATATTTTTTGACATTTGCTAATTCAAAATAAATTAAGAATAATTGAAAACAATGTCATAAATCGGATATTTATGGAAAAATATCAAATAAATATATTTATGTTTCATTTACTAATTGCTATGCCAAAATAGATAGTATTCATCTAAAATTATAGTCTAAATATTACAATTTTGATAAATAATCATCCATTATTTTAGAGTACGATAATTGATAAAAAATTAATAAAAGTGCCAAAAATCAAACATTTTATAGATTTGGACTCGGATTTCTCAGAACTTTATCCATGTTAGTTTCAGGGATAGTATGAATATCAATTTATAGTCGAAAATTTATATGATAAGTGATTAAAACATTATAGATCACAATAAAAAAGCGACATATTGAATGTTCAAAAAAAAAAAATGAATTTTTAGCGGCTTATACAAATAAATTAATTATTCCAAGTTATGTTATAGGCAATATTGGCAATCAAATTATAGATATAAATAATATCATATTATATTAAATTTCGACCACAAAGGAAATATTTTGGCATTTAAAAATTTAGTGCATATTGGATATATGAAATTGACATTCAATATTTTTAAATTAAATGCAAAAGTAAAAAATCTGATATTTATATATCGTAGCATTTTTTTTTCAAATCATATTTTTCTCAAACACGATGCTCTGAAAGATCTCAATTGTATAATTATATACTCATTGGTATTTATAAAACATTTTATAGGTTATATTATTTTTGATTTTGACTTGGATGGATTATACTGTTTTCTATAGAAAGTGTATAAAGCTTCCAGTTTGATTGTATTGACAAAACATATACAAATTAATGGGGTTTATTGTTTTGATAATACCTAATTGTATACAGCATTCAAACAACACATCCTTATACACTTAAAGTATTAATATTTTTGATTCTCTAGAAATTGTTTAGTTAGTAAAACTTGCTTAGCAAAACAACGTTTGCCGGGCCAGCTAGTATATATATATATATATATATATATATATATATATACACCTAAGTCTGTTTTTACACGGAGATTGGTTCCAGAAGAAGCCGTGTAAAAAAAAATCGTATAAAAAAAGACATTGATCTTATACAAAAATGGGTGAAGCGTTCCTAATCTCTAAAACCTATTAAAATTAGTGAAAAACAAGAATTTTCAAGAACAAGAATTAAATTAGTGCTATTCAGATTTGCTTTGACCAGTAAAAATTGTTTGTACGCGCTAAAGGGGAATTCACTTAAATCTTTAAGCTAGTGTTCGCAAACTATCGATACTATCGATGGTTTCAGACTTTTTTCTTTCATAAATACTTTTTTGTGATATGAACATACTTCGCAAAAATTAAATTTGACAAAAAAAATTTAAGAACATAAAATTTCAAATCGTGCTAAATGGAATAAAATCGTGTAAAAAATTAAAAATATTCAATTTTCAAACCTTGTTATATCAAAACCGTGTACAAAAAGACCGTGTAAAAACAGACTTAGGTGTATATATATATATATATATTGTATGAAAAATATTTAATCTACTTACAAGTTCTCCGTAAGTCGGTGAGGCACCCCAAGCGATTAAAGTGTCATCAGCTGAGATCATGATCGAGGTATTACTTGTACCAATGGCAGTTATATTCCAACCTGTTTAAAACAAAAAAACTAAACTAATACAAAATTTATTATTAATGCTTCGATAATTGCATAAAAATACTTACCACTTAAGTCTTGTACAGGTTTAGGATACATATTAGCTTCACCAGTCTTTTTATTTTGTCCAAATAAGAATAATTGACCTAAAAAGTAAAGAAAAAATAAATTGTTTGAAACTAGAAATAGAGTACACCTAAGTCTGTTTTTACACGGTCTTTTTGTACACGGTTTTGATATAACACGGTTCGAAAATTGAGTATTTTTAATTTTTTTACACGATTTTATTCCATTTAGCACGATTTGAAATTTTATGTACTTAAATTTTTTTTGTCAAATTTAATTTTTGCGAAGATGTTCATATCACAAAAAAGTATTTATGAAAGAAAAAAAGTCTGAAACCATCGATAGTATCGATAGTTTGCGAACACTAGCTTAAAGATTTAAGTGAATTCCCCTTTAGCGCGTACAAACAATTTTTACTGGTCAAAGCAAATGTGAATAGCACTAATTTAGGGGAATACCCTAAAAATTCTTGTTTTTCACTAATTTTAATAGGTTTTAGAGATTAGGAACAAATCACCCATTTTTGTATAAGATCAATGTCTTTTTTTACACGCTTTTTTTTTACACGGCTTCTTCTGGAACCAATCTACCGTGTAAAAACAGACTTAGGTGTAATTGATTTTGTAAAATAGGAAACATACCTAAATCGTTTATTGCCAAACTGTATTGTCCACCACAATACACACTTCGTACTCCACGGCTTTGCGAATCGAAGTATTTTATTAATCTGAAAATAATACATAGAAACAGGTGTGAGCGGCATTTTGCCTTAGGAACAATTACAAATTAATAGTTGAAACTTTGTGGATTCAAAACATTTTTTATATGTCCTTAAATAAATCAACAATTATGTTTCAAACACTTTTTTGCAGTTAGCTTAGCAGAAATTAGATAAAATTTACTACAACTAGTGTTGTATGGCATCGTGCCTTAAGGCAAATTGCTGGTACTTCCCGTACCGTGATGAAATATTCGAGAAATTTTAAACGTTTTAAAATATATTATTACAAATACTGTAACTTTCATTATTTTTCCTATCTTGTTATATCTGAGCAAATCAAATGTAAATTATAAATAAATCAATTTATCTCCACAACATTAACAATCGTCATTTCATTTCGAATTCAACCTAAAAAAAAAAAGTTGCCTAATTACACAAAATTGAAAAAGTGCTCCGGTATAGTCACAGTCTAAACGCATTTGCAAATAATTCTGTGCGACATTTTCACTTATACTGTGCTTAGCTTGGCGTCATTTTCACATTTTTCAATAGTTTCAAAAATATTTTATGGAAAATAAAAAAAGATGTAATATTTTTTTATCCTCAAAAGCAATTGCATTTTGTCAATACAAGCAGAAAGTTTTTTAGATCATTTAAATCGAACGCTTAGTTCACTCAAAAACTGCCATTTTTTGCACATTTAGCTCCGTATCTTCCAAATGGTGGGACCTGTCTTTGCCAAAAACTAATCACCTCTTCTCCCAATCATTACGAATTGAACGTTTTTTAAATCATTCAAATCCGATGCTCCGATCTCTCAAAAACTCGATTTCTATTTTCTGCACTTTTTGCTACATATCTCCGTAACGGCTGAACCTGCCTATGCCAAAAACTAATCAGCATATCTACCCATCAATAGGAATCGAATGTTTTTTGAACCATTCAAATCGGTTGATCCGTGCGCCCGAAAACGTGGACGAAAAAGTGCGGACATACAAAACACACACACACACACAAATCCATTTAGTTTCTGAGGTATGCCCTTTAAAAATGTTCAGAAACCTTTAAAACGTCGAGAAATGCAAAAATTTTCATTTTCGATTTTCGGCCCATTACTGTAACTACCCTACGGGAAGTTAATAATGTGCAAATTGTCTTATGCACTCTGATACGAATATTTTGATTTGAAGTAATATGAATTCACTCTTATGCATAGCAAAAGTAATACAAGATTCACAAAAATTAAAATCATGAGAATAAGAATTGTTATAATAAATATTTCTATATCATAATTTTTATTACCTGGGTACAAATTCATCCTTCGGTTCGGCATGACCCAATCGACCGAATCCTCCAAAGCCCCAACTGAAGCACCTTTTTTGTGAATCAATTGCAACCTGATAAAAAGGAAAAAATCAAATAGAGAAAATTTATATATATATATATATATATATATATATAATGATATTTTTAGAATTTGTTTATAATTACAGTATGATTTGTTCCACAGCTGAAATCGACAATTTGTGCTGCATCAATTGGTGTAACATGACCGTCTTTAGCCTTTTCGATATACAGAACAACTTTCTTTGGAGATGTGATACAATGGAATGAGATTTTGTTGGAAGTCACAAAGTATTTACCTTCTGTATTATGACCTGCAAATGATAAACAATTGAATATAAATAAGAATTTTAGATTTAATTGCTGGTACAACACTATACACGTATGAGACGTCCATTAATCGCGTGTTCGATTTTTTAAGGGGTTTTGGATAACATCTATACTAGGGTTTATACAAAAACCGACATTTCAGAAAACCGGTTTTCGAATTTTAATTTTACTAAAAAACCGGTTTTAACCGGTTTTCGAATTTTATATAGCAATCAAATTTTTGCTCGAATATTCTGTAATTTATCCGCAAATTTAGTGGAATTTAGAGCAGCATTTGACAGAACTAATTTATTGTTCAATTTTATAGGTAGTAAACAAAATTATTTTAATTTTAATTAGCAAAACTAAAAAATAATAGTTTATCTTAATTAAATAACTTTGAAAATAATTATTCGTTTTTCATGCATCATTTTCACATATTAAAATGAAAATATTTTTATGATAGTGAAAGGAAAGTTTTCGATTAAATAAAAATATTACATTTTTAAATAAAAAACATTCCTTAAATTAATATTACATACATGTTGATACATACTTGTTAATATCAATTTTAGGTTTAAAAACAATTAAGCTAAACTCGGATATTGTCTGTTCTAAGCAATTTTAATTAATTAATTTCAAACATTTTAATTGTTTTTTTTTTGTTTATAAAAATATGATTTCAAAAAACTATCGAATTGATACTTAAACGTATCCTTTGTTTACTCACAAAAATTCCTGGAATAGAAAATACTCTCATACTTGCGACCAATTTATGCTTAAATGTTTTTAAAGTCTGATATGATAATTCAAAGTTTTTTGTTCTTTTATTTGTGGCTTCTAGGGAATAAAACTGTTTTTTTAAGTTAGAGTAGAGGAAGTTAGTTCTTCAAAAAGAAGTCACAGTGATTTAAATTAATATATACACCGGTATAAAAATCTAAATTAATATATACAAAACCTTTCTGGGAACCATTGCAGACTGATAAGATATCAAATGCTATTGAAACGATATGATTTCAAGAATCAAAACGCTTTCATCTATCTTTTATATTTGGCTATATTTGTCATTTTTCATTTATACAGTGAAAACCGACTTTTTTCCACTAAACAACGGTTTTCAATTCCATAATTTTCGCCAAAAAACCGGTTTTTGAAAACCGACAAACCCTAATCTATACTATAACATGAAAATCTTTCTAAAAATGCTGCAAACCATATAAAAACGCAAAATCAGTAAAAGAAACCTTTGACAAAATTATTCGTATGCTTCAAAATCTGCACAATTACAAAACACCCTCCAAATGGCATCAAAATATTTCAAATTATATAAAAATCTTCTAAAAATTTCGCGAGCCTTATAAAAATTGCAGAATCTTATAAAATTAAAGAAATTTGACAAAAACAAAATAGTGTATTTAGAAAAAAACTGTATTCTTACAAAAATATAGAATATAGAAAATAAAATATAGAAATGCAAGGATTCAATTTTCGTTAATTAAGAAAAATAAATGCTTTCAAATTTATATTGTCGCTTTATTTTAAATGCTCAATCTCGACGTTTCGGAACTAGATACGTCCCATCATCAGGTTTTTTCTGCCAAAAACAATTTTTATATAAACGGACAATATTAATGACGAAGTATACAGAATATTAAGAAACGTAAAGAACGTAATTAGTTCCCAAACATCGTAATTAAACGTCTACTAAAAATAAATTGTTTTTTATTTATTGAAAAAATCCAGGACAAAAAAAGTTTTTTAATAAACTATTTCTTTATTTATTTACTGTCGACGTTTCGGAACTAGGAACGTTCCATCTTCAGGACATCTGTCAAGAAACATGATCTTGATAAGATTTAAGCAAACAATATGTTTAAGAAAAGAAAATGGATTTTTTAATTAATAAAATACTTAGTTGAAAAAATAATGTACAGAAATATGATAATATGATCAAAATTTGTTTCTTGCAATGACTGTTCTTTCTAATATATTGGACAAAGAAATAGTTTATTAAAAACCTTTTTTTGTTTTTTTTATATATATATATATATATATATATATATATATATATATATATAATTTTATTACCTAGTAGCAAGTAGTAATTTTATACAATATCAAGATATATATATATATATATATATATATATATATATATATACAGTACAGGCCAAAAGTTTCCGGACACATGAAAAAATCTCATTTTCTGAGTTTTTAGCTATATTTTTCATATAAAAATAATTTTATTCAAGTTAGTTTTGTACATTCTACGTAGTATTAATATTTAGTGACTGATTTGTAACCAATTTGTGAGAAATGATGGACTAATTAGCAATGAAAATGTCAAAATGTCACAGTCGATTTTCCTGAATATGACCACCCTTTGCTTTGATCACTGCAGCGCATATTTTTGGTAATCTTTTGACGAGTTTTTGCAATGTTTGCGCAGGTATGTTTTTCCAGGACTCGTTAAGGCAATTCCACAGGGCAGGGAGGCTGCTTGGATGCAAATCAGTCAGACAAATGCACAACAGTTCTATTGGATTAAGATCCATTATTTGAAGTATTTTTTCGTCTTGTTTTCGCTTCAAATAATTGTCACAGAGTCGAGAAGTGTGTTTAGGGTCATTATCTTGTTGAAAAATAAATTTTGGACCAATTAAATTAAGACCAGATGGAATGGCGTGGCGCTGAAGTATGGTATGATACTGTTCTTTCTTTAAAGTTCCATCTATTTGACAAGCGATCCGACTCCATTGAATCTAAAACAACCCCAAGCCATCACTGAACCACCACCGTGCTTTACCTTTGGCGAAATACACTTAGAATTGAGTCTTTCATTACCCTTCCTACGTCGATGATTTCCGAAAAGTTCGAATTTTGACTCATCCGTCCATAAAACTGATTTCCATTGATCGATGGTCCAATTTAAGTGGGTTTTGGCAAATTGCAATCTCTTTTGTTTATTTACTGTTCGCAGAAGTGGTTTTTTGAGTGTCCTGCACAATCGCCGGATCTTAATCCAATAGAGCTTGTGGGACGAGCTTAAATGCCTCGTGAAGGATTTGCATCCAACCAGCCTTGCTGCCTGTGGAATTGCCTTAACGAGTCCTGGAAGAACATACCTGCGCAAACATTGCAAAAACTCGTCAAAAGATTACCAAAAATATGCGCTGCAGTGATCAAAGCAAAGGGTGGTCATATTCAGGAAAATCGACTGTGACATTTTGACATTTTCATTGCTAATTAGTCCATCATTTCTCACAAATTGGTTACAAATCAGTCACTAAATATTAATACTACGTAGAATGTACAAAACTAACTTGAATAAAATTATTTTTATATGAAAAATATAGCTCAAAACTCAGAAAATGAGATTTTTTTCATGTGTCCAGAAACTTTTGGCCTGTACTGTATATATATAATTTTATTACCTAGTTGTCCAAATTCAGGTAAACCAAATGTATGCAAACCACCTTTAACATCGAGTATAACTGAAAAATCAGCACCACAGCCTACTTTGATTATAGGAGGACCACTGCCAAAAAATAAACAAAATGAACACAACAATCCAATTCAACTAGTTTTAAAAATCATTTATTTACCGATATTTTATCCTTGTAGGTTTATTCACAACTGCTGTTTGATTACCAACACCGCACTGCCCAAATTTATTATCACCACAAGCATAGACGGTACCGGTATCTAAAAAAAGAAAAAAAATAATAGATACTTTACATTATATTATATATATATATATATATATATATCTATATTAGTGATGTGCCAAGTCGAATCAAGTGATTCGAATCATTCGAATCAAGCCTTTAACGACTTGATTCGAATCAGATTTTACTTGATTCGAATCAACTCGTATCAAGCCGCAAAATATTTTCTGTGATAAAACATGTGTGAACACAAATTTTCATAAATATAAAAAAAATGTTTTAATTTAATTCAATATTATAATAATATAAATAATAGTAATAATAAATATAAAAAATAATAATAATAAATATAAAAAATAAATCTTGAATTAAATCATGCGAGTCACCCGCCTTTAATACGCTTAAATGTATCACCCGACTCCAATTTATATGACTTTAACCGCATTCAAGTCGTTATGAATTGATTCGAGTTCCTATGACTCAAACCGACTTATCCCGACTTCAAGTCGTTATGAATTGATTCGAGTTCCTATGACTCAAACCGACTTATCCCGACTTCAAGTCGTTATGAATTGATTCGAGTTCCTATGACTCAAACCGACTTATCCCGACTTCAAGTCGTTATGAATTGATTCGAGTTCCTATGACTCAAACCGACTTATCCCGACTTCAAGTCGTTATGAATTGATTCGAGTTCCTATGACTCAAACCGACTTATCCCGACTTCAAGTCGTTATGAATTGATTCGAGTTCCTATGACTCAAACCGACTTATCCCGACTTCAAGTCGTTATGAATTGATTCGAGTTCCTATGACTCAAACCGACTTATCCCGACTTCAAGTCGTTATGAATTGATTCGAGTTCCTATGACTCAAACCGACTTATCCCGACTTCAAGTCGTTATGAATGATTCGAGTTCCTATGACTCAAACCGACTTATCCCGACTTCAAGTCGTTATGAATTGATTCGAGTTCCTATGACTCAAACCGACTTATCCCGACTTCAAGTCGTTATGAATTGATTCGAGTTCCTATGACTCAAACCGACTTATCCCGACTTCAAGTCGTTATGAATTGATTCGAGTTCCTATGACTCAAACCGACTTATCCCGACTTCAAGTCGTTATGAATTGATTCGAGTTCCTATGACTCAAACCGACTTATCCCGACTTCAAGTCGTTATGAATTGATTCGAGTTCCTATGACTCAAACCGACTTATCCCGACTTCAAGTCGTTATGAATTGATTCGAGTTCCTATGACTCAAACCGACTTATCCCGACTTCAAGTCGGTATGAATTATCCGAGTTCATATGACTCAAACTGAATCATACCGACTTGAGTTCGAAACATGTGTCCGTGTTTAGCGTATCGACTTATGGAGATGCAGTGCGTATGGGTCTTGAGTGTTTGTTTATTTTTGACTAAGCGCTGAGAGCAAATTTGTTCATGAAATATCAAAAACTCATTTAGATAATAAATACGCGATTAAGATTTTAATTATTATCAAAATAAACTACACAACGAGTTTTATACACATACAAAATTATTATATTTTAATTATGCCAGTAATGGCAAATTCACACAAATGAAATAATATCAATCTTTACAGTAGTGGATTGAATTTTAAGTCATTCGTAAGACGTTAGATTCAGCTCCCTGTTTAGATTAGATCTAAACAATCAATAATATACACATGCATTCGTTCAACGTAAGATTAAGAATATTGTTTTATATGCTTTAGTGATAGAGAAGTGTTTGGTTAAATTTTACTGTAAATTCACTTGAAAGATTAGTTATATTTGTAGCTAGTTTATTATTATATATATATATAGTATAAATGTATTCATCTCTGCACTTTTTGGAATTAATTGCTTACTGAATTAATTATTTCACTTATAAAATTATTAAAATGATATTATTTCTTCTCTTAAATTATAATTGTTCATATATGAACTTGATTCGAATTGATTCGAATCATGATTCGAATCAGGTTTTTTTCTGATTCGAATCACTCGAATCAGGAAATTTTCGAGTCGGCACATCACTAATCTATATCTATATATATATAAATCTCGTGTCACGATGTTGGTTCGCGATGGACGCCCAAACTACTGAACCGGTTTTAAATTTTATTGGCTCATCGTGTGCATATATATCCAACTTGGGTTATAGGAAATTTTGAAAAGTAAATTTAAAATATAAATATATAATTTTTATAAATTTCTAAAAATTTTGACAGAAAATGGTCAAAAAAAAAAACAAAACACTGAAATGACAAATGTCAAAATTTATGGAAAACTCGAGAAGAAGATTTATGATTTTTGAAAAAACAATTTGACAGTTCAAAAAATTTAATTCAAAAACATATACATATATAGATATTCCCAGCATTTATATCCAAATTAGATGAAATGCTATATTCAAAATCACAATTTATAGTTTTAAATCTAATTAAAAGTCAATGTTTATAAATTTGAATAAATGTTGACATGAAAATTGTCAAATGTCATTTGTCAATATTTATGAAAATAATTATATAAATATATTTACAATTTATATTTATTTGATTAGCTTACTAAATTATTTCGGATACCAAAACTTCATCAAAACCTTATAGATCAGAGATCACAATAAAAAAGCGACATACTGAATTTAAAATTAATCATAAACAAAAATTTAACGTTTCACAAAAAAAAAGTTTAACGACTTCAATAAGAAACAAATAAATTAATTATTCCAAGTTATATTGCCGAACAAATTGTAGATACAACACAATATTGTAAAATAAATATCATATATTAATTTTTGACCAAAAAGGAAATATTTTGACATTTACAAATATACTGCATATTGAATATATGAAATTGACATTCACAATTCAATTAAATGAAAATATAAAAAATCAAATATTTATATAAAAAATTATATATCCAAAACAAAAAATTAATAAAAGTGCCAAAAATCAAACATTTTATAGATTTGGACTCGGATTTCTCAGAACTTTATCCATGTTAGTTTCAGGGATAGTATGAATATCAATTTATAGTCGAAAATTTATATGATAAGTGATTAAAACATTATAGATCAAAATAAAAAAGCGACATATTGAATTTAACATTAATCATAAACAAAATTCTGACAGTTCAAAAAAAAATGAATTTTTAACGACTTCAATAAGATACAAATAATTATTCCAAGTTATGTTATAGGCAATATTGGCAATCAAATTATAGATATAAATTATATCATATTATATTAAATTTCGACCAAAAAGGAAATATTTTCGCATTTAAAAATTTAGTGCATATTGGATATATGAAATTGACATTCAATATTTTTAAATTAAATGCAAAAGTAAAAAATCTGATATTTATATAAAAATTATATATTTAGATAATGGTACTGCGATGATTCAGACTAAAATCTAATTTATTCATTGATTAAAAAAAATATTTCACTATTTGACATAAATAAAATTAAAATAAACAAAACACTATGATGCGTTGGAATTAATTATCGAAATGTAAAGAAATTTGTGTAATAAAAATATAACATTATTATTAATATATCATGTATATTATAAGAACTTCTGCAATGCGGCAAAATATTTTTGATGGCAAAACAGCATTTGCCAGGTCAGCTAGTATATATATATATATAAATTAAAATGTATTATATATTATATAATACTTTATATTATATTTAAAACACCATACTTTACATTATATTGGTGTATTTATATTACCTGTTAAAAATAAGGTATGATGTCTGCCGGTTGCTGCGCCTATGATAACCAAATCTTCAAGACCGGTGACCTCGGTTGGCATGTCTCTTGTTTTGGTGTCTCCGACGCCCAATTGGCCACTAGGATTTCGACCTGGATAAAAAATTAGTACGTGAGTTGATAATATGGATGATAATGAATTTATGTATAGTAGGTATAAATATTTACCAATAGTATAAGCTTTTCCTTCTTCAGTTATCAATACAGAGTGAACTGCTGAACAGGAACTGACTGCCAACTTGTACTAAAATAGATGGCATATGAATTAATTGATGATTTTATAGTAAAAGTAACGAATGATAAAATGAGGTTTTAATTTATCTATTTACCTTTCTGTCAGTCAACCGATGGAATGTATATAAATTCGGATGGCTCATACTGATCTTCTTAACATCTCTTTTTCCTGCCATTTCCCAAGCGACTTGACCAGCGATCAACAACTTACCGCCATCACGGGATAAAGATTTTAACAACTCCTAAAAACAAAAACAAGTTCAGTACATGAGTCGAGTACTTTTGATTATTGTTTGTCAATTATTATACCTCTGGTAGTTTTTCTGCTTTCTCGAGTTCGCCATCGATAAGAATCTCATCAGGTGGAGCATTGTCCCCCTGATCACTGAATTCAGACCCGTAATCCTCACTATCGGATTCTGCTTTGTATTTCTTTTTGTTTGCTGTTTTCTTAGTAGGGGCACGTTTACGTTTGGCTGCGGACATTTTTATTTAGCAAAATTCTGAAACAATCAAAGATTTGTAAATGAATAATTATAAAACCAGTGGTGTATGGCATCGTGCCTTAAGGCAAATTGATAAAACTTTCCGTTCCAAAAATTGAATTTTTTAAAAAAGTTTTTTTTTAACATTAAAAAAATTAGATTTTTGGAATATTTTAAATTTTTAAAAAATTTGATTTTTTTAAAAAAAAATTACTATTTTGGTAAAAAGTTTTTTTTATTTTGAAATATTTTGGAAATTCTGAACTTTTTTTCAAAGCAATCGTACTGCTTTCTGCATAGAGACGAAATATTAAAGCGCGTAAGCGCCGCGTCGCCGTCTAACGGACAAACGATGTTACCGAACCCATAGAAATGTAAACAAAATTTGAACGTGTTATTAAAATCTTCATAAAATATCTGATAATTTGAAGTGCATATGTCTAATGATCATTTTTGACCGCCAAATGGTATTTTTTTTACTAGATCTCCGAAACCGTTAGACCTGCCTTCTCAAAAATTTTACCAGTTCTTTATCTTCGCAATTCAAATAAATGCTCTTTAAATTATTAAAATTGGTTTTTCCATGAGCCCGAAATCGTCCACGAAAATTTGTATCCGTACACACACACACATACATTTTTTCTAATGTATTCCAAAATGTTCAAAAACCTTTATTTTCATTACAGTTTTTGACAAAATTGTGCATTTAATTAACTTCCCGTATGAATATAGTTTTTCGTCCACGTTTTCGGGCGCACGGATCACCGATTTGAATGATTCAAAAAAAAACATTCGATTCCTATTGATAGGCAGATGTGATGATTAGTTTTTGGCAAAGGCAGATCCAAGCCACTTCAAAGGTACGAGACAAAAAATGCATAAAATGGAAATTCCATTTTTGCGAGAACGGGCCATCCGATTAGAATGATTCAAAAACCATTCGATTAGCGTTGACGGCGAGACGTGTCGATTAGTGTTTTTTGTAAAGGCAGATCCAGACATTTCGGAAACACGGAACAAAGGGTGCAATAAAAAAAAACATTTTTTAAGAGCATAATTAGTTTTTGAGAAAGGCAGGTCCAGCGGTTTCAAAGTTTTCAATATGAATATTTATTTGAAAATTTTCACAAAGTTACAACTTTTTTCAAATATCAAAAATATATATTTGATGATTTTAATATTAAAAAATACACAGTTTTAAATTTCATAAATTCTAAAGCTCATCTAAATATCTGAAATATAGAATTTTGACTTTGCAATTCAGATCGGAATGATATATTTAAAAATAAGGTTCTCTCAAGCATGATCAAATATTAGATAAGGCATTTCATTCTAAATCGGCTTGATTAGCCTTTGTTTATTTACATTCTTTGAAAGTATATATAAATATCATAGTCTAATTTGTAAACTCATATTTTAAATATAAAATACAAATAATGAATGCGACAATACTTGTAATAATATATTAGAAAAATATTTAAAACAATTGTTATTAATCAATGATCAATTTTTGTAGATTATTGATTATTTTTAATCCTCGAACGTTACGGGAAGTACCAGCAATATATATTATTTGGATAAATGTTGATAAAACAAAAAACTTCTTATCAGACATCCTTTCAGATAACTAAAATAAATTTATTCGATCCATAAGTTTCAAGTCCCAATTTGCTCTTCTTCTGTGGGAAGAAAACTACAAAAAGCGACAAAAGAAAAATATTTAAATTTATCATAACATAGGGAACAAAAATATTATAAAACAAGTAAAAACAAGACTTTCTCCAGGTAATCTGGAATTATATATTTGAAACTTGATTATTCCATTTTTCAGCCCTTGGATAATGATTTATATATATATATATATATATATATATATATATATATATATATATATATATATATATATATATATCATATTAATCAGCTCAAACATAACATTGATTTTTCCAATCCCACGGTCCTACATTTCGAAAATAATTTATTTAAAAGAAGGTTTAGCGAAGGATGCCTAATATCTTTACACAACGACAGGGCCATAAATAAAAGATTGGACAACAATTCGCTTTGCAATGACTATAAAATAATCCTTGACCATTTTTCAAAACACTACCATATCTGAATGAAGCGTGTATTTTATTATTTTACTAAAAACATATGTCTGCCAGTCTTTTTACACTTTCTCAAAAAATTGTAAACACAATTCATTCAGTTTTTAGACGTTAGTCAATCTGTACACACTAAAATGTAACCAAAAATTGTCAAAAAAATAATTAGTTTAAATGTTCCAGTTATTAATAGCTTAGTATATCACAGTGTAATAGTGTAGTGTATTTTTGTATTATAATTAATTTCTGTAAGTAATTATATATATATAAGTTCTATAACTTTATATTATTTTCCTCCTACATCATATAAAATCTTTTAGTTCCACTGAATGATGGTCTCGATGAAGACTGAAACGTATGGATAAATAAAGTATCTCAAAACTACTTTAGTTTTTTTTACTTGGTGTTACTGCCCGATACTAAATAACTCATCATATATATATCTTGACAGGAAAAAATTGGTATTCAAATGAATCTATTAAATTTATTTTAAGGAACATATATTACTTTTCTTTCTATTTTATTATTTCAATGGATGCCTGTAAAGAGTAGTTTGTATGCATATATTATAAATATATATATATAAATATATATATATATATATATATATATATAAATAAATATATATATATATATATATATATATATATATATGTGTGTGTTTGTTATTAAAATTATTACTAAACCAACCAAAACTTAGAATAGTTTATTATTAACAATAAACAATTAAATCAAAACAAACCGTTATTGTTTATACCCGTCGTTTCTAACCTAAATCAAAACAACTTGTACACAAATCGACATTACCCAAAAAGACATTTTATAAAAACTACTTATACAAAAAAAAAACGCGCGTCTAAAAACTTCTTCCAACAATGGCTGAGCCGACACAGACAACTCATTATAAAAAAATATTAATATACAATTAAACACAACCTGTATGTATTTATTTGTTATTGTTTACAAACGCAGACACACGATACAATACACAAATAACACACACAACACTTTATTAATGTATAGTAAAAGATACAAATGTAGGACGCCGTTTCGATTGTGTAGGAAAAAAACTTTACATATGGAAAACAAATTGAAAATGAGCTATCTTCTTTTATTATTATTACAAACGGACACTAACCTTTAACTTCTTGTTAATTTACGAGCACTTTAAACGCCACTTCGATGCATTAATATGTTTATTTAGTTGTATTTTCTTTCGGATTGTGCGATGGCCGGGTCACGGTTTATTATGTATGTATATAAAAATTAAAATGGCGATGAAATAATGGCAAATACTGTATTTAATGTGCTTGTGTATTTTTCAAATGTAATCAGATGGTTCGCGGCTCGGCTAAGGAGGTTAGTTGACAGTTTTGACAGGAGGCAGGGGTTCGGCGGAAGTTGGAGAGATGGCGGTGTCGTTTGGCGGTTGTATATATGAAACAAACTAGTGGTGCGTGGCATCGTGCCTTAAGGCAAATTGCTGGAACTTTCTGTACCAAAAATTAAATTAGTAAAAAAAACTAGTTGGTATTGGTATTTTGCCTTGAGGCAAGTTACATGAACTTTCCGATATGTATAAATAATCGACTTGATCAATAATAAACAAATTAATTTATGAATGATTATAAGTATTCCGAGAGGATTTATTACACATAATTGAATATGAACGAACACTTTGACTCGGAGTATTTTCTATAAGCAAATTTTCAAAAAAATCAACAATTTTTATTTTTGAACCAGTTTCCGTAGGACTTTAATTGTTTAGTATGTTCATTAAGACCAAGTACTATTAACGTTATACCAAGTAAATTCTCTAATTTTAATTTTAACAAACGTCAAAAAACTACTTATTTTCTCAAACTTTGATGAATTTTTAAAATTAAACTACTTCTCGTAAGGCCGTAATATTTCAGTAAGTTCTACAAGGCCATGATATATATCACCAAAAAAAGTTCCATGGAAATCGGCTTAAATTTTTCTTTCAACAATTAATTACAAGAAAACGGCTCGGTAAATACTCACCTAAAACTAATCAGTATCATTTCCAACTAATATCTTTCGAACAGTTTTTGATTTTTTAAAATCGGTTTAGTAGTATGAGCTTAAATGTGGACAAAAGGTTTAACACTTTTTCCAAATTACAAAGAAACGGCTCGGTCGATCGTCGCATAAAACTGAGAAACGATAATCCTCTTCGAGATACATCAAATGCTTTTTAAATATCTGAAATCGGTTCAGGCGTTTTTGAAAAAACGTCGATGAAAGGTATAATTTTAACAAATGCCAAAAAAACGATACTAATTTTTGCAAACTTTGACGATTTTTTAAAGCTAAACCAGTTGTCGTAGGGCCGTAATATTTTAGTATGATCTATAAGACTATGGTATCTACCGCCAAAAAAAAATTAATAATAATAATAATAAAAATCGTTTTAACACTTTATTACAAGAAAACGGCCCGGCCGATCTCTACCAAAAACTAATCAGCACGATTCCCAACCAATATCTATCGAATGGTTTTTGAATTTTCGAAATCGATTCAGAATTGCGGGCTAAAACGTAGACGAACAATTTTTCACTTTTCTGCGATTTAGAAAGAAACGTCTCGGCCGATTGTCGCACAAAACTGACAAACAATAGTCCTCATCGAGATACATCGAATGGCTTTTAAATTTTTTAAATCGGTCCATCCGTTTTGGAGAAAACGTCGATTTACGGCAAAAAATCTGTTCACACACACACACATACATACTTTTTCCAAATGTTGGTCTCATTCGATTCAGAATGGCTTGAAACGTCGTGAAAACATAAAATTAGCGAATCGGATTTTTTGATGAAAACATAAACTTCTTCTTCGGGTAGTTGTTAATAAAATACAAATTTATATTACAAATTTTATAAAAAAAATTATAGTAATCACAAAAAAATCAAAAATGAAAATTGTTATATATCTTTACGTTTTAGATATTTCTGAAAATTTTGGCACCTTGGAAAAAATTGATGTATGTTTGTGTGTACTTGTGCATGTATGTGCTGATACAATTTTATTTTAATATTTTATAATTGCCTCTTTTTCTGAATTTTTCTGATGAAATAAATATCTACCTATGTTGTAATGGTCTTTAGTGCACGAGTACAGATTAGATTGATATTTGTTTATTTTCTCAAGCGAAACCTATTATTATTATTGCGCAATTTATTCCAATAAATAAATATTATAATTTTAATCGCCCTATAAATCCCGCCGGACACACTTCATATTGAATCGGGTGCGTTTTGCCGTGTAATCAATTTGAAATGGGAAAATAATACTTGGTGGTGTGTAAATATATACATCATATATATATATATATATATATATATATATATATATATATGTGTGTGTGTAAGTATATATAAAGAGGGTTAGATACCGGAACAATTGTGTTTACGATCACACAAACCTATTTGCAATGTTGCAGAGTATGACAACCCTATAGGAATACACCTTAGATACAAATCACATTTTTTATTTCTCACCAACACTTATTATTATTACACTTGAATAATGATCTTGAATGGATATAGTTAGCGGGATCATCTTTTATAGAAACGATTCAAAAAACAATAGAATTAAAAACACACCTTTACATGGTATTTGCCCAAAACTTATAACCATTTTTTCCCGTCATGTTTTTTGGATCATACAAATCGGATGATCCGTTCTCTCAAAAACTCGATTTCTATTTTCTGCACTCTTTGCTCCGTATCTCCGTAACGACTGGACCTGCCTTTGCCAAAAACTAATCAGCACATCTCCCTATCAATAGGAATCGAATGTTTTTTAAACCATTCAAATCAGTTGATCCATGCGCCGGAAAACGTGGACGGAAAAATGCGGACATACAAAACACACACACACACATCCATTTGGTTTCTGAGGTATGCCAGTAAAATGTTCAGAAACCTTCAAAACGTCGAGAAATGCAAAAATTTTCATTTTTGATTTTCGGCCCATTAGTATAACTACCCTACGGAAAGTTAATAATTTTTTTATGAAACAAAGGAGGTTTTTGGTTCAGAAAAATTATACAATATGTTTATTAATATTTTAATAAATACGATAAATATTTATATTGCAATTTACTAATTTTTATCTATTTATGTGTTTATTTTCTTATCATGATCATGTTCTAGACTGATGTCCTGAAGATAGAAAGTGCATTGTTCCAAAACGTTAACAATAAATAATAAAGGTTTTTTATTGCTATTGCATTTCTTGTTCGATGCTCAACACAAATTAATATATATATATATATATATATATATATATATATATATACATATATATACTAGCAAACCCGACGAACTCCGTTTCGCCACCAGATGGTTTCGTGAAAAAGATGAAGAAATTTTTTGTTTTATATTTGAAAAGAAAAAAAATTGATTGTATTATACAACAGTAATGAATTTATTTTGATTACAAAAATGAAGTGTTTTTTAGTTGAACTTCTCTAAGTAAATGAAAGTGAATCCGCAAATTATCCGTTTCATTGAAGTGCTCTTTGGTAAACCACATTTTTTGTTTTTTGGTCTGATGTTAACATAAACAAAGCGGATGGTTTTCCATCTCTTGAACAGGCAACGCATAACTGCCCATGTGAAAAACGATGATTTTCTAAATAATCTATTTGAAATTTATCCCCCAAAAACACTAAGCGATTGGCCTTGCGACTTGTTAATTGTCATTACGAACTGGAAATTGCAATCGTTTGAAGTCAAACGGAAGACCAGTCGGAATCATTGGTATGTCACCAAATCGCCAGCAATTTCTGATTGAATGGTGAAATTCAGTGCGTGTACATCATTATTCTTTGCGGCAAGAATTGCTCGTTGGCTTAACCAAGCATAATTCTGATAATTCTCACTAATGTCATTACTCGAATTTTTAATTACGGTGCGTGAAGTTCCAGCAGCTTGCATTAAGGCACGATGCCGTGCACAACTAATTTTCTTAGCTATAAACCTTGCGGACCTCGAGACCTTTTCAACGAATGCAAAATTGTCTAAATAGGTTCGAGCGTTCTGGAGTTATTTTGTCAGGAAGGAAAACCCGACTTATTTTTATATATATAGAAGATATACCATTTTTTCTCCGGGTTCTTCTCACCTGCCTAGCATATGTCTTTAGGATAGATGTAAAGCGCACGCGTTCGTGTCCCCTGTAAGTAATTGTTTTCTCCTTTTTTGAAGTGGAAGTGTGGTGCCCCCAGAACAAAAGTAGGCGCCACGCCCATTCGAGCCCCGGGCGGAATTTCTGCGTTTCCCGACGGGAAAAACATTATGCGGCAGAATGCTAATTTGGCGGGAATTATGGATAATGGTTTGCTGGTCGGTTTAAAATTATGTGTAAAGATGGGATGGTCAGTTTCTTAATAATTAACTGTTGAAGAAGTGGATTTGATTATTTTCAGATAGTTTAAGGGGCACAACTAGTGTGAAATTTTCAAAAAATCGAATTTTCAATTTTTCCATGTTTCGATAGGTTATACCTTTAAAAATAACATACCAAAATTTTAAATCGATATCTTAAATTGTTTTTGAGTTACAGCCATTTAAAGAGTATATATATATAGTATATACTATAACGATCATTTAATCTTTAAACGCGTTTTTCTCGAAACAGCATTTTTCGAATTTGCTGCAGCGATTAGTCAAAAACAAATGATCAGATCACTACCAAATTTTTTTTACATGTTTTATATATAGTTCTCCGTAAAATGAACTATCGATTTTTTGATCGGATCAAAAATCGAATTTTGGCAGTCCAAAAACGACTAAAATTTTGGGTAAAATTCGACTTTTTTTAAAAAACGCCGTCATTTGTCAATTTTTGATTTTTTTTCCTCATCGTAGTTCAGTTTACAGACAATATTATCTAGTTTAACGAGAATTTTTTTTTTAAATTTCATCCACGTAGAAGGCCGGAATCACTGCAGCTGTTAAGGGCCTTTTTTATCGCGTCGTTGGAGATCGACGATAACTTAAAAAATATCTAATTTTTTTCTTCAAAAATTTTACTATGTATTCTTAAAACATGTATAAATATATTCCTAAAATTTTGAAATGATTGATAAAGTAGTTTTTTTAATATAAATTCCCAAAAATTACCTTTTTTTAGGCGGTTACACTAGTTGTGCCCCTTAAAAACACATCAAAAACAAAATCGTTGCAAATTTGCATAACAAAACAACACGTTACGTTCTTGTTTGCAACGTAAAAACATCTGTGTAATATCCAGGATACGTAACTGCTACATTATTGTTAAA